TCTATTTCTTTTGAGTGGCTTCAACTATTGTCAGTCTCGCCCAACTGATGAACTGATTCTGCTGTTGGTTCCGCAGCAAACGTAGCGCATTGCACCAGTCTAGGTAGACAGGAGCCCACTCACAGCTTTAAGCGGGCGTCGATAAATACATATATATTTTTTCAAAAATACAGCTGTTGTATGGTACAAAAAATACTGGTTTTCGTCTCCCTCGATATACTGCCACCCTGGTTGCAGTATAATGCCATATTTATTTATTTTAATGCCACATTTTCCGCTGGACGAAAGTTGGGATCATATTCAGGGAGAACTGTATATGTGAACAAAACAGTTCTCAATATAAATTTTGCATTGGGAGTTCTTCTTTTGAACATTTTCCTGATAAACTCTCCACATTGTTATTACTGCATATTCGTAGAGCATCGACCCTTTATATCGGTGTTGAGAGATTTAGAGGTGGAAAAAGCTGTGAGATTTGAAAATAGAAAAAAATTATTCCATAGTTATTTCCCTTGTTGGAAAATCCTTCCGATACAACACAGCTTATTTCTTTATGAAACGTGATATTCGTTCGTTTTTTTCGGAGTGGGATGATATATTGTGCCGGACGACTTTTGCGGATATAAGGACCTTCTTTTTCAATTTTTTAGTAGTATGGTAGTGTAGAACCGGCCGGAGATGGGAAACATCCCGATCAAGCTAGATGGCATCAGAGTTTTCAATGGATGGCTATGTACGGGGTGAATTGGTGAGTTCAATGACTGTTTATGTATGGGGTGAGTTGGTGAGTTCAGTGACTATTTATGTATGGGGTGAGTTCAATGAATGTTTATGTATGGGGTGAGTTAGTTAGTTCAATGACTATTTATGTATGGGGTGAGTTAGTGAGTTCAATGACTGTTTATGTATGGGGTGAGTTAGTGAGTTCAATGAATGTTTATGTATGGGGTGAGTTAGTGAGTTCAATGACTATTTATGTATGGGGTGAGTTAGTGAGTTCAATGAATGTTTATGTATGGGGTGAGTTAGTGAGTTCAATGACTGTTTATGTATTGGGTGAGTTGGTGAGTTCAATGACTATTTATGTATGGGGTGAGTTAGTGCGTTCAATGACTGTTTATGTATCAATTATACTAAGTCAAATACAAAAGGACACACACACACACACACGCACACACACAATCACACAATCACACACACACAATCACACACACTTTGTTGCCAAACGAACGTATTTTCTTTCAAAAGTTTCTCTTTATTCATAAGCAACAGTCGTCATTAAAACGATCCTTTCGTTTTTAGTTTCTACAGTAACAGTAGATGCGTTATGTGTCCCTGTAATATCTGGCTAATCACTGGATTGTCTGGTCAAGGCTCGATTGTGTACAGGCCGCTGTCGTATGGCAGGAGTATAGCTGTGTAGCTTTATGCAACACACGCTTATTTTTTTCATGAACATTGTGTGAAGAGCGGGTTCTACAGGTAGAGGAGGACGTGCGTAACCCTATTGGTAACACCTGGTGTCATTAGGGACATTCAGTGATCCATTCATTTCGTTTTAACCGCTGTTTCGCCTCTTGCCCAATGGAATATGTTTCGGCAGAAAATCGAGACTGGTTGTTCTCTGGCATTGACGCTTTGTTCCAAGACACGTGTTAAGCTCTCTCTCGTATCACATGCAAAAGAGTTATAGAGAGTATGTGCGTTACCGAGTTGGACTGTACAGCGTTTTCAGCAATATTTCAGTTATATGACGGCGGTTGACACCAATCACCAATGTTAAGAAAACCCCAGATCTTCGACAAAACGGGAGAACGCTTTAACCACAAGGCTACCCTGACATCAAACGGGTAGAGGTTGGTAGATGCGGGTCGGATGTAACCATGTTCATATTTGTGTCCTTTAAATTGTGTTTATCACTTGAATGTAACGATTGGTCTATTAATGATTGAGACTGGCCAGGAATACCAATGGGTGATAGCATGTTCGACATCAGCGTGTTTGTTTGTGTAATATAAACTACGCCGCACTTCTCTCATCCATTGTGTGTGCTCTGTCCACAGTTTATGCTTTGTTTTGTTTGTTTGTTTGTTTAACGCCGCACTCAGCAATATTCCATCTATATGACGGCGGTTGGTAAATAATCGAGTCTGGACCAGACAATCCAGTGATCGATATCATGAGCATCGATCCACGCAATTGGGATGGATGACATGCTTCAACCAAGTCAGCGAGCCTGACCACCCGATCCCGTTAGTCAACTCTTACGACAAGCATAGTCGCCTTTTACAGCAAGCATGGGTTGCTGAAGACCTATTCTACCCCGGATCCCACGGGTTTTCGACATCAGGACGCGACGACACGCAATAAACAACAACGTCATTTTCACCCACTGCGTCAGACATACATTGTTTACTGTGATAGGGAGATGTAAACAATAATTTCCAATTAACAAGGAATCTTTCATTGTTGGTTCATAGGATCACAAAACTAATCTTTTTGAAAGAACTCTTCCCCGATAAAAAAACCCCGGGAAGAGTGTAGAGTGGTAGACCATGTTTACGTCGCCATTGCGCGAGAGCAGTAAAATGCTGATCACCTATTCTCGATCTATACGTAGGTTCAGCTCGAGTGGAAACATATAGTGATCTATATTTATTCAGTAAATAATATGTACTCAATTCATGTGGCTTATGTAATACGACGATGACGAGCTTCTTGTCTTTTCGACATTTTGAAATCTTTGTTCCTCGTATCAATTTTCAGTTCGGAGCTCTTCAAAGAATTTACATTTTTTTTAACTTTTCAGAAATACTTCAACTGTTATATATTTAACTGTTGTATATCAAATTCTGAATTATCCCAAACACTCTTATCGAGGTCTTACAGTCGTGTTTTCATCGAGTTATATGATATGTACAAAGTTGAGAGCAGAACGATTTTTTTTATTTTAACCAGTCTTGTGAGCGTTTTGCGACTGCGCGATTCAAATGCACGAATCCCTATCTTGAAGGGCAGTGATTTAGAGTGACGCATTTTTGGAACCTGCCCTAACCGGCTACAGTGCGTTATCTACAAACACAAGATTCAAACTGACGTTTGAGTACGAGATAAAATTGCTGGAATAAACACACTTTGATAATGTTTAACTGCACCGAGCCATGGACGAGCACAGAATGGCCGCAATGCCGTCCTACAGGTGTTTCATGTTAAGGGATTTGTTTTTGTGTTGACGTTGTTGTTTGCATGTGTTCGGGTGCACAGTCAAACGTCAGAGACCATTCTTGGAACGATATTCTTGGCAGTGTTGATATCTAAGTCACAGCCATGGGAACAAACAATATACAGTCTTCAGGTCGCGTGCTATCTAATATTGATAATTGGATCTGGAAATTGCTTTTTCGATCACCGTCGATTATCCAGGGTATGACATCTCAATTTATAATGCTACACAAATCATGTATCGAACATACTTTTAACAAAGAGAAACATAATGATCAGTAAAAGAGTAGATGAGGGTCAAATAGTTTTCAAATAAATTAAAATCAAAATCCATATGTTGAGCGTTCACAACTGTATGACCTTGGATTCATTTAGTCTATGAAGTATTGAGTTGACAATATGATAAGAGTTGCCTCCCTTCCTTTAGGAATTCCGCGGAATCTGTCATCTTCAGTTTTTCTGTTTCCCTTCAACGTTTTTTGATCAAATGTAAATATACTAATATATTAAAACAACGATATCATATAGAATTTTTTTATGCCTGAAAAACTGCATGTAATTGTGGTGAATTGGCCTATATAGCTTTCCAGTTTGAAAACCAAGTAACCTGATAAATATTTCATGGTCGGGGTACAGAAAAAAAACCACATCTCGTTTTACTCTCCCTTTCAAAACTGTTACACATCTCTACTTGGGAACGTCAACACACAGACAAATATCCACACGTTTCATCATAAGCTGTGGGACCCGTGAAGATCCGGGGTAGAATAGGTCTTCAGCAACCCATGCTTGGGTTAAAGGCGACTATGCTTGTTGTTAGAGGCGACTAACGGGATCAGGTAGTCAGGCTCGCTGACTTGGTTGATTCATGTCATTGATCCCATTTGCGTGGATAGATGCTCATGGTGTCAGTCACTGGATTGTCTGGTCCCGACTCGATTATTTACAGACCTCCGTCTTACACCTGGAATATTGCTGAGTGCGGCGTTAACAAACAAACAAAACAAAACATTAACTGTGGAAAGAGCACACACAATAGGTGACAGAATCTGAATTTGAAATTTTGAATATGTTGATATTTTAAGTTTGAAAATTATTTTTGTAGCAACGCATTTATTCCATTGTCGGCCTAATTTTATTTGCTATTGTGGCTGTAGACTGTACATCGTGAAGTAACGAGGTTGTGTGCCATATTATCCCACGTCTGTTTTAAGTGAAGATCCTAATTTTGGCTTTTGGTACACGTGAAAACACAACCAGCAGAGGGGTATAGAAACTATTATATTAAGTATAAACATTGTAAAATTGACTGAATAACAATTGATATAAACAATCGTTGAGATCCTTTCCAGCAAATCTGTGTTATTTCCGAACGTAGGGTTTACTTGGCGAACAATAACCCGCGATGCCAGGTGTTGTATATTTTACTTGCGCTTCACGCAATAATTCATCCTTCTGTTTGCGCACCCTCATCTTCTCATTGATGGGCCATGTATTTCAGTGTCATCTGCACGGCGGAAGACTTCTGTTCAAGAAATATTTACTTACCACAAACATGGGGCTTATTATTGCTCTTATTATTCTTATCATTACTATTACACAGGGATGACGGTGAAATTGATGGTTGTGATGACTTTGATTAATCGTTTGATTGATGCTGATTGAAAATAACAGTTATTGCGGATAATTATGATTCTTATAACAGCGGAAAGACGGATATGATCTTTTGATGCATACACATTCGATTATTATCATTACTGTTATTGTTCTTGTTGCAGATCGCTCGTGCAATAGAAGAAAGGGAACTGTCGTACCTCTTCATGGCTGAGAATATCACCATCTTTCTGCCCTCCAATGACGCCTACTTTGACTTTGTGCCCAAGTCGTTTGGATACAACCGTAATGACGTCAACATGTGGCGGGAACTGGTTCTGTACAGCTCAGGTCAGCCACGGTTCATCATGTGTGGGTGGGGTGGGGGAGGGAGTTGAAGGGGGGGGGGGGGGGGGGGGGGGGGGGTCTTTGGCAGTTCCTGAGTGTGGTAGGTGCGGGAATGAATGTTTACTTGTTGTTTTACGCCACATTCTGCAACAGTACAGCTATATCATGACGGTCTGTAAATAATTGAAACTGGGTCAGACAAACGAGTGATTGATACAGTGAGTAACATCTCACGGCGTTGGGGTACGGTGACACGCAATCGACATTGTCATCCATACAAGCCGCTCTATTTAGTCACCTCGTACGACAAGCATATATGTTGGTGATCCAGCAGCAATGCTTATTCAGAATCCACATGGGGTCAGATGAGGTGGAATGAGATTTAACGAAGCGTCCAAGACGGGCACGAGCTCCAGGCAGGGTAACAACAAGTACCATATTATGGTATGACGCGGCCGGGGATCGGAACCCCGGACCTTCTGACGCTCTACCACTAGATCACGGAGGCGGTCCCATGGGGTCAGTGATTGAGTGGTTGAGGTTTCAGCCAAATATCAAAAAGGGTTTTCCAAATGTAGGATCGTACCCTGATGTACATTCCCTGGGCCCGTTTCACAATCAATACTGCAAAGTTACTGCAAAGTACTTACAGTGGCAGTACACAATAGAATGGCAGTACAAGTTGTTTGTGTTTTGTTTAACGCCGAACTCAGCAATATTCCAGCTATATGACGACGGTCTGTAAATAACCGAGTCTGGGCAAGACAATCCAGTGATTGACATCATAAGCATCGAATCAACGCAACTGGGATCGATGACATGCATCAACCAAGTCAGCGAGCTTGACCACCCGATCCCGTTAGTCGCCTCTTACGACAAGCATAGTCGCCTTTTTCGGCAAGCATGGGTTGCTGAAGACCTATTCTACCCCAGAATCTTCACGGGTCGGCAGTACAAGTACAATGGCAGTATAAAATACAACAGCAGTGGTTATAGCACTAAACACACGGATAACAATACTCACCCAGCAGCAACAGTGGTCAAACTTCCAAAGTAGGCCTAGCCTGGATATCCAGGGTGAAATTGTGATCTTTATACAACCGTTGGTCTTGATGTAAAGTGAGATGAAATGTGAGACGGGAGAGGCAAGTCTTAGTCCCTTCTGGAAGTTTCTATACAGTACTGGATTTATTCCTGCTGAACAAAAACATTTCTGAAAATTCTAGAAAACACTTGATCTGAATATCTGAATATAGTAACTTCCACACCACTGCTTACGTAATAAGTAATACATTCCTGACAACTAATTCTTGTCAAAACACAATGATATGACCTTCTACTGAATCTCAGCAGAATCAATGTAATACAATTACAACAGTGTTTAACAATATAATAAACAGCCATATAACAATATCAGTAAATTTATGGTTACACCTGAACATTCAGAGTTGTTACAGGTAAGGGTAAGGTTCTTGTTTGTAGTTCGACGCCGGATTTCGCTACAACAGTTATCATCGCGTGACAGGAGGCGCTGTTTGCTCTGATTGAGTTCCTTGATCTGCGAGAAACCGCGTTCATTGGTTGATAAAAACCCTCCACATAAACCTTGATTCACATCACGATTTTCTCCCACAACTTAGTTCGGCAGAGTTGCGTCCCTTAGGTGTAACAGAAACCTATGATCGGGTTCAACCCCAGTTCGACCTGATTATGTTTCTATGTTTGCCAGCACAGTAACTTTGGGCTTCTTTCCTCATCATGCTGTCACGCCGTGGGATAACGGAAGTACTTTTTACAGTAACGTTAAACCAAACTCACTCACTCATCCAAAGCAGCGTTAGTACAAGCTTGTTGTTCATGTTGTTGCATGTTGCTATGTTGTTGCATGTTGTTCATGTTATTGCATGTTGTTTCATGCTGTTTCAGTGCAAGGGGCTCTTCTACTCGAGAACATCAAAGACAAAGACATGCTGGGGACCCGACTGGGAGCCGACTTCAAAATTTACTGTAATAAGTATACAGATAAGAAGGGACAGGTGCGTGCGAGTGTATCAGTGATAAAACCAGTTTACGTTTGATACCTCTATTGTGTCAAACGGATGTTTTCTACACGGTATTTTCAGGTACCTAGGGTCATTTGAACAATATAATTCCCCCACCCGAACAAAATCGAAAAATGAATTTAACAAAGTATCAACTAGTTGCCCAACATTATTAATATATGTGTGACCCACCAAGAGACAAGGGACCATATGGGTGCTAGGATGCAATTGTGCTGTGACTTCATAAAGATGTACGTTTGACGTCAACAGCCTCCGTAAATGCATGCGGACTGTACAAAAAAATCTGTTTTTTTCTCTCGTTCGTTCGTAATGTAATATTATAAAGCATTATTTTAAAATATATTTCATGACATCATATCTAAAAACTGCAATTATTACATATACAGTTATAAGTATGAAAATGGGACAGAAAACGAGTCCAAATGTTTGCTGCCATGTATCTCTGTAATAAGTATGAATTGAAGCTTGTGAATTGTATTTTTGTGTTCTTAAGATAATGTAGTTTTAACATATAACGAGAAGTCAAAATATGATTTTTCCCTAAAGGTCCCTTGTTTCCTGGCTGATCGCGTGATGTGCTTAACGAGGAACTGTTATAATCATTACAAACTGATATACACTGAATCAGTTGTTTCCGTTATACAAGACGTTGTATCGCAATGTTCCAAACACAAGTCGTCCGGATAACTGGGGTTTCGAATTAGTGAGGTCCCGATGAACGATATTTATCTGCACATGAAAGCGTATGTTTTCATTTCTTTACTAACGTACTCAATGCGATATGTGTGACATATGATGTTTCTGCTTTCATACACAGTTTACCACAATAAACGGTGCCCGCTTTATAGAGAGCGACATCCAGACTGAGAACGGCGTGCTTCACATCATGGACCGAGTGCTGGCCCCCATGTCGAGCAACAACACTCTGGCCGAGTACATAGAGCGTCCCACCATCCCCAACCTGTCATTTGAGTGAGTATGTTGTTTTGCGCCGCAGTCTGCACAATTCCAGTTATATCATGACGACTGTTAAGAACACCAATTTTCCTAACTATGTGAAGTCAATTTCGAAACATTTGTGAAAGTATTTAACTGTCCAGGTGAAAGTCCTGAAATCACACGCTCCACAATCAGTTTCCAGAACAAACTGGCTGGGGCGTGGCCTGAAGGTACCGCTACAGCGGCCCGTGACGATTGTCTTCATTGGCTGTTACGGAGACTTGGATGCAGAGTGTATCTACTGCATCATCTATCTTCTGATGCTTAGCAGCTATTCATCTGTTTGGTCTTTCTCGGTTGTATTTGATTGTTAGCTGATACGGTGGACGGGTGTGTAGCTAGAAGATGTACCAACTCTGTCATTGCCAGATCCAGTACTGTTAGTTTTCATCAGCTTCCGTCTGAGATGTTCGAGATGAATGGATAAGCTCGTGTTGGTAAAACGACCCAACTGTCAGCCAGAGAATCTTCGCGATTATGTTCAGAACATTTTTCAGACTGCTGTCAGCTGAGAAGAACACTAAGTAAGAGCACTTTGTCTGTTTCCGCCATTTAGCCTCACTTTGCACCTCCCTGCAGAGGATTACCAGTTACTGTGGTCGTACAAGCACAAGGGTCATGCCAAAGACGGTCACAGTGACCTCAACTCAGGACTGATGTGAAATCATGATCATGTGAATTGTGTCTATGAAAACTGACTCAGTTCACTGGAATTTACCTTGTGTAATATCCGAATTAAGACGCTTAACAAGTGCTCCCCAGATCTGCACTAAGACGGCAGAAAATGAGTGTCGTGTTACGCCGTACTCATCAATATTCCAGCTGTATCACTGCCTGCCAACGTGGTCTCGTGTATACTGTTACAATGCACCGATCGTTCTCTTACGTCACACCCCTGTCCATATCTATTTATGTCTGTCTATATCAGTGTAAGTCATTATCTGTGAATCATTAAGAGAGTTGCAAGTCTCTTCCCATCTGATAGAAATAGTCGCCTCATCACTGGCAGTTACAAATATGGGTATTAGTCTCAAGTTTAAATTTGACATTTCGTAGATGATTTTGAGTATCATTACCCGACAGTCATTATATACTCACCGCCAAAAGTAACGCCATACATGTTGTTTAGCATATGAAAACTTACTCATTTGCAAGAGATATAAGATTGGTTTGATGGCATGTGCGCTGCAGTACGCATCACGTGTGACGTCATAGATCCATGGCTCGAGATGCACGTGCATGATTAGCCTGTAAAGTTTAGAAATCACGTGCCGCATATCGTGATTAGATTAAAGACGTAACAAGTATTATATACTCACACGCAAAAGAAACGCAAGTCGAGTATGCAGTATACATGTTATTTATTTTCAACAGTAAAGACAAGAAATACTAATGGGGCAAGATTGACAAAAAATTGACTGAAGACAGTTTAATGGATTAAAAGGCAGATGACATAATTGGTTTTTTTTCAGATGTTAAGGGCTTACACAGTTTCGGGTCAATACCCAAATTGTCAGTCAAATCCTGGTGTGACCACCATTGGCACAATAAAGACACCGTGGTAACGCTTGACTGTCAGATTTGTCATTAATTGGTACACATTGGAAACATCTCTTCTTAATGTACAAATTTCCTTATATGTTCCCGTGGTTCGCGTTTCTTTTGGCGGTGAGTATATGTCTTATTTTAAGGAATTGTTTTTACTGCGTCACATTACATATATAGCTGCTACAACATGTCATGCTATGTCATGTTACATGACCGTGACTATGCTGCTACAGGTCTATCATCAAGGCGAAGATCGTGGTGCCAGATCTTGAGGCAGAGACGAGGAACTCCAGCCTCTACTTCACATCCTTCTCACCCAACGATTCCTTTCTCCTGGCAATGCCCTCGTATGGCAAAGACCGGATCTTCTTAGATTGGGGACTTCTCGAAAAAGTGAGTGGCTCCTGTATCGCATTGTGTGGCTTACGTTATATAGTATTCCAGTTATATCGCGGCGTGTCAGCTTAATGCGGGAGGAAAGCCCGACGTGATGTAGGTCTTAGAAGTTTACCACTTCGGTGAAACCGACGAGCACAGGTATGGTGCTAACAAACCTAGAAACATAATCGGGGCGAACTGGGATTCGAAACCACTATCTGTTGTGCCTAAGGGACGCAACTCTGCAAAGCGAATTGCGGCGCCCTAGACGACTGAGCAATCCGTGCCCCTACTGTCTGCATGAGAAACGGTCTGTCACTCCGTGGTGATTGCACTTTAGGATTGGTCCCCCGCAACCTGTGCTACCCATGAGAGGCGACAGAATGGATCGAATTGTCAGATTTGGTGACACTTCATGTCGAGTGCATGTAATCGTCCGCCGACAGCGTGGTTCTTTGCTCATAATATCAATCACTGCATTTTCTGGTCCAGACTCGATTGTTTCCAGGAAGCGCAATATACATGCTGGAATATGCTGAGTGCGGCGTTAAACCACAAACAAACAAACACATGTTTATACTGAGTCTGTTTGGGAATAATCGACTTCCTAAATTGGTTGTGAGAGAGTAACCTATCTGTCCACGGTCGCGGTACGATGACACAAAATCACCCGGGACGTCCGCTTTAACAACTGCTCCCTGTACTCGTCATGGGTCCACACAATACCGTCGATACGCAGGACTTACTCAAAACCTATTCTGTCGTGTTATCCCCACCGGTTTTAATCCAACAACTGGATGTACGCAACAATTCCTGCTGGTATTATGGAACGACTTGCAAGCGTTGTCACTGACAATGTTATGAATCTGCACGGTGGTTAATTTTCGTGTTGTGTGTTTGTGTGTTTGTGTTTGTGTGTTTGTTGTACGAATATAACACCGCAACCAGCACTGCCCCAGCTATGTAATGGCGGCCTTTAAATAATCGAGTCTGGAGCAGACAATCCAGTGATTAGAATTGGACATCGGGGTACGATGACCCTCGACCAAGTTACTGAGCCTGGTCATTCATTCACATCGTATATACTCCCCATGAAGCTGATAATTAAAAACAAATACTGACCCATTGGCCGGAGTAATAATGTGGCGCTTTAAACATGATTTGGCGTATTATGAATATGCACATTATTAACTCACAAGCAAGGTTGATGGAGACATCGCCTGACTCTGAATCTTCACTGGAGTGATTAAGACATCAATATGCATTTCAACACGTTTTATGAACGCTTCTATATTATGTCTGTTTATCTAGGTCTACCGAGCACATATAGTTCCGTACTCGGTCTTGTTTCTTCCATCAATTGGACCGATGCCCAACATCCAGGCGTCAGTCGGCACACTCAGCTTCACTCGATACAACGGCCAAAGTAAGTTCGCAGTGTGGTGAGGTCTTGTGAATCCCCCATCTGCCTTAACTAAATTAAAGCATCGTTCCAATAAAACAGATTGTAATATTTGCCACATAGCCTTCGTTTCGTCAGAAGCCTTAAATTTACGCGAGGCCAGGTGTTTAGGCTTAAATACGTATGCCCATGTGTAAAATCATAAATACTTGATAATAACTGACACCTCTTTTCCTTAAAGTTTTCTTCACAGATTTAAAGTGAACTGTTTAAATAGGGATGAAAATGTACCCCCCCCCCACCCCCCCCCCCCCCCCCCCCCCCCACCCCGATAAAAGAAACCAAAAACAAATTCAAAAATTCGAATTCTTTTTTTCAATGTTTGTCTTGAACAAACAACCTAAATTTTATTTTGTCTTTGACAATATTTTCTCACGGACTGATAGTTTTAAAATACTTGAGCACTTGTCACGTGTCAACGGCGGCTGGCGATCTAGATTGCAGTCACGCATACTTTGTCCATATCTTACAACCAACATCATGACAAGTACGCCCTAACCCTGTATTCAGTACACCATGTTTACCTGTATTTTCAGTCTATGTCTACAACGGCATGGTGAGAGCACGGGTTGTACAGGCAAACATCCCCGTTGGCAACGGCGTGCTCCATGTCATCGACAACCTCCTGTACTTCGTCTACGACAACGTTGTGCAGAGACTCGGTGGTATGCAAGAAACAAGGTGCGTACGTCACATTTATCACTCGGATCAACTCGGCTTGTTCCGTTAAGTATATAGAGTAGATAAGGCATGATGTCAGTGTAAACCGCGCACCGACCGATCCCTCTGTACTTCACACTTGTGGTCCAACTTTTAGAAAAGAACTTGATGACGAAAACTTCTGAATGCAACCTACAAATTGTCAGGGAGCTGTGCTCCATAAACCTGAGTGTCATTAAACAAGAATGAAATAATAATGAAACGTGTTTATAGGCTCACAGGTTTATTACTAACAGCAAGTTGTAAGTATAGATAAAAAATAGGATCAAAAACCCAATTTACACTGACAACGATCACTGATTAATTAAATCAGAACAAATATACAAGCTGATTAGCTAAGAAACTGAAAACAGTAACACAAAGAGGGAAGCCAAATCAACACTTTGTCAAGATAACTGCTGGATTGACAGACAATTAAGTCGGCTAGACCAATTAACACCTGAGAGTTAATTAACTCAACACTCTAATGAGTGAATAACCTCGGCTGGGTTAGGCCGGGGGGATAAACACAAAAGGCCTATCACTAAAATAGGGAGTAAAGTCAACACGCAATGTCTACGCCATCCCTGACCCACACTTCACAATAAACACTGAGGTTTAACGTACATTTACTCTGACTGCTTCTAGCAAAATGTGGGAGTACATGAAGAAACTGCCCGACAGCATCCAGGCCAGGCTGAACAGCACCAGCGTCAACTACACCGTGTTCGCCCCCACCGACTGGGCCTTCAGCAAGATCCCCACGTCCCAGCAGCTGGAGCTGGATAGGGATGACGAGGAGGGGGAGAAACTCCTCAAATATGTAAGTCACCTATGTATGTCACATATGTAAGTCACCTATGTATGTCACGTATGTAAGTCACCTATGTATGTCACGTATGTAAGTCACCTATGTATGTCACGTATGTAAGTCACCTATGTATGTCACGTATGTAAGTCACCTATGTATGTCACGTATGTAAGTCACCTATGTATGTCACATATGTAAGTCACCTATGTATGTCACGTATGTAAGTCACCTATGTATGTCACATATGTAAGTCACCTATGTATGTCACGTATGTAAGTCACCTATGTATGTCACGTATGTAAGTCACCTATGTATGTCACATATGTAAGTCACCTATGTATGTCACGTATGTAAGTCACCTATGTATGTCACGTATGTAAGTCACCTATGTATGTCACATATGTAAGTCACCTATGTATGTCACGTATGTAAGTCACCTATGTATGTCACATATGTAAGTCACCTATGTATGTCACGTATGTAAGTCACCTATGTATGTCACGTATGTAAGTAACCTATGTATGTCACATATGTAAGTCACCTATGTATGTCACATATGTAAGTCACCTATGTATGTCACGTATGTAAGTCACCTATGTATGTCACGTATGTAAGTCACCTATGTATGTCACATATGTAAGTCACCTATGTATGTCACATATGTAAGTCACCTATGTATGTCACATATGTAAGTCACCTATGTATGTCACGTATGTAAGTCACCTATGTATGTCACGTATGTAAGTCACCTATGTATGTCACATATGTAAGTCACCTATGTATGTCACGTATGTAAGTCACCTATGTATGTCACATATGTAAGTCACCTATGTATGTCACATATGTAAGTCACCTATGAATGTCACATATGTAAGTCACCTATGTATGTCACATATGTAAGTCACCTATGTATGTCACGTATGTAAGTCACCTATGTATGTCACATATGTAAGTCACCTATGTATGTCACATATGTAAGTCACCTATGTATGTCACGTATGTAAGTCACCTATGTATGTCACGTATGTAAGTCACCTATGTATGTCACGTATGTAAGTCACCTATGTATGTCACATATGTAAGTCACCTATGTATGTCACATATGTAAGTCACCTATGTAAGTCACGTATGTAAGTCACCTATGTATGTCATATATGTAAGTCACCTATGTATGTCACATATGTAAGTCACCTATGTAAGTCACGTATGTAAGTCACCTATGTAAGTCACGTATGTAAGTCACCTATGTATGTCATATATGTAAGTCACCTATGTATGTCACATATGTAAATCACATATGTAAGTCACGTATGTAAGTCACCTATGTATGTCACGTATGTAAGTCACATATGTATGTCACGTATGTAAGTCACATATGTATGTCACGTATGTAAGTCACATATGTAAGGTCTGGTTATATCTACCTCATGGTACGGTCATGTGCATGGTGTAAACTGTCGGGGAAAAGAAAGTATACATTTGAAAAATGATTCGACCAAAATATTCAAACGTTATGAAACGTTACTAGGCTGAAAACAGTCACCGAAACACCGTAAACTTAATGTCCAAAACACCACTATGATACCCGTATCAATACATCACCATCGAATTACCATTTCTTGTTTGTTTCCGTTTAGCCACCATCAAACATGGGTGTGTAGGTTCTTTTCCCGACAGTTTAGTAGCGATGTTACTGGGACTTTCATCAGTAGTGACTGGAGTAGTGGAATTGTCAATATTACAGTTATTATTACTTGCATCAGTACCAATTTTCAGATTGGTTTACAGTTGTTGTTATAATCATCTTTTGTTGTTATTATAATTATTAGCATTAGAATCTCACACGTTCTTTTTTGAAATACATAAAATTAGTGATCAGTATTTGAATATTACCAGTTGAATTTACTATTGATGTTGCTATTGTCGTTATCATTTGTTGTATTATTATTATCATTATGTGGCAGCTTTGTGATATTATTATTAGTATTATCTTACTTCCCATTGGTTTTGCTTCAGCTACTGTTTGGACACATAATCCCGGATGTGCAGCTTGACGCCGCCATGTTGTCCCATGATCAGATGCTGAGGACGATGGACAATCGCACCATTCACATCAAACACGTAGATGGAGGTAAGGTGGAATACTCGACTATCCACACACTGCTTACAAATCAGTCGTGTAAAGTTTCTATCAACAAACCTATGTGAGGATATCTCAACGGAATTGTGCTTTAGAGCCGACAGACTGAGGATCAAATGATCAGAGTGTGTGGATTGGTTGCGGGACGTTACTAAAAACATGTACCTCCACTTTGACTGGGCCGAACTCGATTGTTTATAAGCCGCCATTACATAGCTGGAATATCGCCTTAACGTAAAAGAATATTCACTCACTTACTCACTCGACAACAAACGACGGCCCAAACACTGTGTTAACACGTTTTCTCCAATCCCAGATACGTACCTAGAGAGCGGATCAGTGAGAGCCAGACTGGAGATGACCAACATCGGCTGCACCAACGGCGTGATCCACCTCATCAGCAACATCCTCTTCTTCAAGAACTTCACCATCTGGGAGGCCATCGAGAACATCCCGCAGCTCAGGTACAATTCAACCTCAGCAGAGTCAAGTGCGAATAGGCAAAGCTTTTACATTGTGTATATTCTATATGTTAATCATTGGTAATTAGACTTGATACCAACAAAGCAACAAGTCTATGATGATGAACATGTCACATATTGCTTTGTATTTTGTACATTATACCTGATAAGATCGCAAGAGCAAACTCCTGTGTTTGAATTGGAGTGTGACCCCATGGATCACGGCACAAAGCAGTCTTAGCTTTAAGACCATCGTAGCTCCCATACATCAACAAAAACTTACGACAGTCGCAGCGATAGTACTGTTCTGTGCAACTGGACGCGGGTATAAATGAACTCGACCCCTTAATGAACTGTTCCTTGTCATTTAGCAGACGATCCCTTATTTTTGCCCATAAGTATATGAAGACCAACCCAAAGAACGGACCATCTGTCTCTCGTTTACTCTATGTTTAAAATTAATGTTTCGAAACTAACGCATGCAGAACAGATGAGTCGTAGTTTTTCTCGGTTTGTAAGTTATCCTCTAAATACCACATTTGTAGTTAAGATGATTACTGACACTGTTTTATTTCGACAAAGTTATTTCATGAAGTATGTTCTGTCTGTTTCAGTATAATGTACTCCTTCGCTATACAGTACCCGGACATAGAGGCGAAACTCTCGGCAGAGACTTCTGGCGCGTTGACCATGTTCATGGCTAGCGACTCGGTGTTGAAGACCACGTCCCGATCCGCCCTGGACACGCTTAACTCCTTCCCCCACATGGTGTACCAGGTAATGTCAGACTCAACCCCTACCCCCACACGGTGCACTATGTGATGCCAGACTCAACTCCTTCCCCCACATGGTGTACCAGGTAATGTCAGACCCAACTCCTACCCCCACATGGTGTACCATGTAAAGCAAGACCTAACTCCTACCCCCACACAGTGTACCAGGTAATGCAAGACCTAACTCCTACCCCCACACAGTGTACCATGTAAAGCAAGACCTAACCCCTACCCCCACACGATGTACCAGGTAATGCAAGACCTAACTCTTACCCCCACACAGTGTACCAGGTAATGCAAGACTCAACTCCTACCCCCACACAGTGTACCATGTAAAGCAAGACCTAACTCCTACCCCCACACAGTGTACCAGGTAATGCAAGACCTAACTCCTACCCCCACACGGTGTACCAGGTAATGCAGAACTCAACTCCTACCCTCACATAGTGTACCATATGTTCATTTGTAAACGAATAAAATTTCACGCTTGTTTGTGATTTATATGATTAAATCAATATATCATTATTGACAAATAATGCTTTTTTAAAACCCAAATGACGACCTCAAAACCTACCACGATTGGTACATGTATTACTGTATTACTCGTTGTATTGCCAGGCACTAAGGGGTCAGATTGTCCAGGGACAGTTCAGCTCGTCCAGTGTGGCCAGCTCCGTGCAGGTGGGGACGCTGGCCGGCAAGAGTCTCCGCATCTACAAGGAGGACTCCAGGACCGGCACAGAAGATGAAGGTACGTAGAACGGCGTTCTCATATCAGTAGATTTTGTCTGTGTTCTTTAACGTCGCCTTCAGCACGATTCACGGCGTAACCCGATGGTGTACACGAGCCTGACCAGACAATCCAGGGAATTATATAACTAGCAATGTCTACCGCCGTCATGGTAAAATGACGAGTGTCAACCAAGTCACCGTGCTGGGGACATCTGCGCCTAAGACAGCGCCGTCCTTGAACCTTCCATATGTAAGATGACGTTACGGCTTTAGGAAGGTCTCGCTGGTGAGACACTGATTATTTTTTACCGTTCAAGGTTAATTTGACTGTCGTTTGTGCCAAATATTAATCCTGAAATCTCCTCAACGGGGCTGTTGGTTACATCAGCGGTCAAACAGTTGGTCTCGTCGTGAAATCGGCGTTAACCTTACTATACTACCCTCTTTCTCCCCCCCCCCCCCCCCCCCCCCACACACACACACACACACAAAGGATCTTAGTGCTACGATTGTCGTAAGGCTATGTTAAAGTACGGAAGTTAAGATCGTCTTAGAGCTAAGATTCTTTTGCTGAACGAGGCCCAGATCTACTGGGGTATCATGGGTCACATGATGAATTTCTCAAGGCTGTTTGTTATGTCAATGTTAGCGCTTTATGAATCAGGCCCTCGTTCCTCATCAAGTCTACCGTAGCGCAACAATCGTAGCTTTACATAGACTTACGACCGTATTAGTGCTGAAATCTGTTTGTGAACAATGTCAGTGCCTCAAAGCGCCTATTTGCTTGATGTTCTTATTTAGATGTAAATCAGTGTTAATGTGTTGGAGATGCGATAAGCGTATCGTTAAGAACGCAATTGGGAAATAAGCCGCCGTTTGTTCCGAATAAACTGGTTGAGGCCTCCGAATAGACTGGACCGTAAGATAGCGGTATATGTAAGACAATTTATCTGTCTGGCGTTTTAAGGATCTGACACAACTAATACATGAATATATACTCAGTCTGTGGCAGTACACTTAATTGCTCTTGTGTTTGTCTACCTTTACTTCACAAGGGCAAACTCTATATTATATAGTCTGCTTCCAGTATTAATAATGCATGGTGCAATCATTACGTCAACATTTGTGTCTGCATTCAGATATGATGGTGGAGGGAAGTCACGTGAAAGCTCGCGTGATTGTGAAGGACATCTGGTGTTCAAACGGCGTACTACACATCGTGGACGACATTCTGCACGTGGCCATCCGGAGCATCATTGAGGAGATGGACAGACGACCGGACATCAGGTACATCGTCATCTAGTGGTGTTGCCAAGTCTACTCCGGGTGTGACGAATTAGTTCGATATATCCGAAGGTTGTTATTGAGAGGCAGCTTTAGGTGTATTATCACCAATTTGAATTTGAACAACCAGTCCTCAGAATCAACCATGAGAGAAATGAAGAGTTACCTCCCTTCTCATAAACTTGAACTGGCCTATGAGGATACGCTGAAAAGCAAAATCAATCTGTGAAATTAGATGAGTGAGTGCGTCGTATATTCCAATATTCCAGTAATATCGGGACCGGGGACACTAGGAATGGCTTTCATACATTGTACAGGAGGTGATTGGTACCCGTGACAAAGTCGATCCCAAACCAAAAATAATTTGAATATTTTACAGTCTTCTCCAGGTTGAACGAACAACAAGCAACGCTAATATTGGTTATCATTCAAATAGTCTCTATTCCCATGGCGTATACCATTCGTTATCACTGTTGTTAAAATATCAACGCTTAGTGAAAAGGATATTTAACGATAAAAACCCTTATCTTATATTTGTATAAACATTTGGTCAATTTATGATATAAAATACTATTTTTAAAATCATACTTTAGAAGTACGGTTACAGTTTTATAAAATACCCCCCCCCCCCCCCCCCAAAAAAAAAAAATCAATGAAATTTACGAAACATCTGCAGTAACTCAGAGTGGTTCATGTCAAGAACAGAGTTATCTCCCTTCCCATGCCAATATATTTTTCATTTTGTTTCCTGCACATTTGAATTCGTCATTTGTAAAATATCGGGGTCGGAGAATTGTGCCATAAATCAAACAACGCCCGTGTGATCTCTTACTCAGCTATGAACAAATGCGTCAAAGTGGGTGGCTGCCCTGACCCTATCTGGGTTAAAACCCCACCTATCCATCAGCTGTGTCTCACTTGCTAGAACTAAGCTAATACTCTCTTTATCAATTGGGACAGGACACTGTATGTTCAGCAGTCGCGACTTTCATCTAATTAAGTCCTTTTCAGAGTCGTGACATTGTTGTATATCACCCTCCGTCCTGCTGTTATATATATGTCTGTGATGTCGCACTGGGTCAATGAATCATTACACTGAGACGTTAAACCAACAATATATCAGGATCGTTTTATCTTACCTTTCTTGTTGGATGTCGGAACAGCAGTAAAGTTATATATGTCGGATAAAGATATAAGTCATTAGGGTTTAAGACGCCTCGACAAAACAGCAAAAAACAATAACAAAGACAAAAAGCATGAGATTGTTGACATATTCAAAGATATTTTCAGTTAGAAGTTTTAGTTACATTACATATTAAATCATTTTAGAGTAAAAATATTACGCGTATTGCCTTTTTGATTGCCTTGACCTGACCCAAGGAAATCTGACTTTGACGGATGGAAATTATGTTAATCCACTGCAGCGATAGAAATTAATATGTTTAGTCTACTAGTACTTATTGTGGGTTTCGAGAATTGAGGACGTCAAATCATTCTTCAACTTCATCATTTATTCTAATTCTTAGTTTCATATTCTAACAGTCTCTTGTTCTAGTTGAAGGGTGCCGTTGCCACGAAATACTAAGGTAGCTCTGTCGGCTTGATTGACTGCAAAATAATGCAGAAACGTCTATGAATATACTAATATTTAGACGCAAATATGAAAATAAACAGTCACTTTAATAATGTCTTACTTCTCGGTGACTGAAGTTTTGTATTTAATTGCATAATTACCGTTTTATAACCTCTACGGTCCCCCGCTCACAGCACAGTCTCTTGCACATAGCGATACCAACAACAACAACAAAGTTACTTCCCTTTACAACTTAAATGAAGACCGCTTAAATATAAAATTAATCCAAACAATTGATCAGAATCCAACACTTATAATGATAACATATAGCAAACACCCTAAAAGTGACACAAAGTCCTCATGATACGTGAACTATTGGTGAGTTTGGCAAGAACCGCAGGTCTAGTGTCCATGTCTGTGGCTGCCTCCAGGAACTATATTGGTGTATGTCTCCCCCTACAGCTACACACGCACCATGTTCCGCGCCATCCCAGCCCTACAGGACCACCTCTCCCAGCTGGCGCAGAGCTTCACCGTCTTCATCCCCCACAACGACGCCTACGCCAGCCTTCCCTGGGCCTCCGTCAACTCCCTGCTGAAAAACATCAACAAAACCAAAGAGGTGAGATGGGGACTGCGAGGGGCTGCTGTCAGAGTGGGGTTATACTGGCTTTGTGGATGGGGACTGCGAGGGGCTGCTGTCAGAGTGGGGTCATACTGGCTTTGTGGATGGGGACTGCGAGGGGCTGCTGTCAGTGTGGGGTCATACTGGCTTTGTGGATGGGGACTGCGAGGGGCTGCTGTCAGAGTGGGGTCATACTGGCTTTGTGGATGGGGAATGCGAGGGCTGCTGTCAGAGTGGGGTCATACTGGCTTTGTGGATGGGGACTGCGAGGGGCTGCTGTCAGAGTGGGGTCATACTGGCTTTGTGTTGTAGTAAGCTACAAGGCGACACTTTCCTCGAATTAATTTACGGATCCTTCGCCCCTAAAAACTTATTTAATTTATTACTGGACTGCATACATGTTCACCACAATTCAATATCAAGCATGAATAGAACACCGCAGAATACAAAAAACCACGAGAACCAAAATAAATAAGAATATGATTCCAAAACATAATAGAAAAAGCTAGATACTATAATTTTAGTTTTTCTCGCCTACCGACCAAGTTTTTTTTACACTTGATATTTTCTCAACCAAGAAATACAAACCGAAACAAAAAGTCGCGAAGACGATCGGGTACGAGGATGGCTTTGAGTCATTCTTTCGACCCAAACAAAATATGTGAACGCAGGCATGTTAGGGTTGGGATGACATACACGCAAATGTCAATGGCAATTTGTAATTTTTGCGATGCTAGGATGGGGATGCTGACGCATGAATGGACCAGACGTCTGAGAATGTGGATGCAGGATTATTTTAGGGACCGACCATTCAATATATTCAGAATATTGTTAGAGATATATTTTCACTCCTTCACATTATGTTCAGTGTTTTCTTCTTTGAAAGGAGAGGTTCAGTATTTTTGTATATTGCTTTCAGGACATCTTGCATGTCCAACATCCACCAATTTTTTTTTAAAACCCGGAACAACAAAAATATGTTTTCGAATATTTTCTTGAACACTTTATGTTAAAAAACAAAACCTCCACCATCCCACCATACACACACCCTAAGATATATTGGTAATGTAGGCGATTGGCTCTGCTTGACACTGGAATATACATCACCTTACCCGACATTCTCTTGCAGCTGATGCAGGCACACATCGTCACGGGTGTTGCTAAGAACATTGACGAACTCGCCGACAGACAGATGCTGCAGGCGGATAAAAACGTCATTTACATCGTCAAAAAGTCGGGGAACGGTGAGTCAATCCCCTCCATCTACAGTGGGATGATGGTACCTTAATCCATATATACAAGACAGGATTGTGTTTTGTCTGTTTGTTGTTAAACGCCGCACTCAGCAATATTCCAGCTATGAGGACAGTCTGTAAATAATCGAGAGTTTGAACCAGACAATCCAGTGATTGATATCATGAGCATCGATATACGCAACTGGGATACGATGACATGTTTCAACAAAGTCAGCGAGCCTGACCACCCGATCCCGTTAGTCGCCCCTACGACAAGCATAGTCGCTTTTTACGGCAAGCATGGGTTGCTAAGGACCTATTCTACCCCGGATCTTCACGGGTAAAGACAGGATTGACAAATCGACTTCAACTTCTTACCGAAACAGTTAACTCTGTCTCTGTTTCAGTGTACGTCGTCAACAACAACATGTGGGCCAAGGTGATCGTCCCCGACATCCCGGCGTCTAACGGCATCATTCACATCATCAACAACCTCGTCTATTACCCCTACAAGACCGTGGCGGAAATGCTGGATTCCACAGATGAGCTGCGGTATGTTGCTGCATGTTTGGAGTCTGTCATATATCACCTGGATTATATCCAGTTCCGACCATCTGGGAATCTTAGGCTTGGAGAGTTGGATTTCGTCTTATTCAAAGCACATTCTGTTCAAATAAGTTTATGGATTGTTTAAATACAATTTAGAAATCTAGGCTGAAAATAGACACGGAACTGTCTTTCTTTAATAACTTCAATAAATCGTGGATGATGTCTCACGCTTAATACCCTTGACGATATCTTTGTTCTGAGTCCGGTGTCCAAATGTGGGATATCATTAATACAAAATAGTCTTTTTTCCTTCGAGTCAATTACGAATGAAACAAAAGTAATTCCATTTTTAAAATGTTCCTCTTTTTTTCTCTCGTTTAATCAATACTTTGAGAACCAATAACAGGTATTTTAATTTTCTTTTCATTTCGATCATCAACCCTTTTTAATCATGTAATGTAACTACACAGGTGTGACTGAGCATGTGTATTGTAATTGCAGCGCCTTCTATATGATCATGTCCGGCCTCCCGGAGTTCAACAGCCTGGTCAACAAAGGGGAGAGAAATCTCACAGTGTTTGCGCCCTCTGCTGACTTCCTGAACTCCCTCGCCATCTCCCGACTCGACCGCATCCGAAACAGCACACATGTTTTAAGAAAGGTATAGTTGCTGTTTTTTATAATTTACAGGAGTTTCACTTAAAATAATATTCGATTGATAATATGCTATGTCTTTTAACTTTCATTATGACCTTAGCTTTGTGAAAACCTTCTTAAGTGAAGTTTCATGACCCAAGTTTATTAAAACCTGTATGACTGCGTCATGTCTCGAGACGCACGACTTGTCAGATAAACACGGGCAATGATTGCTTGAGCACTGCCTGTTCTGTGGCGCGACACACAATCAGCTGCGACACACAATCAGCTACGTCACACACTGTAGTCAACCGTTCATCCTTCAGTAGCTGTACTGAAAAGTGTGGGGTACATAGTCTGCGTGGAATCCCGACGGGTGGTTCAAAGTTCCCTATACTATTTTATTCTATTCCTGTCAAACGATCTATAGCCGTGAATGAATATGGTTTTACACCGGTTTTAGAAATAGTCACGCAGTATCATGACGGGGACACCAGAAATGGGCTTCACACGTTGTTGCCATATAGGAAAGCCGGGTTTTCGGCGTGATGAGCAAAAACTTTAACCACTAGACTACCCAGCTGTCCTTAGACAGTAGCTTTAATTAGAACTGGTACACAATATGCCATAATGAGTACAATATGGCCAATCATTGGTTCCCCCTGTCCCTTGGTTTAGTGCAGACACTCTTACTGAGTCTTGAATTAAACTAGAAATTAGTTAATGTTTGAAACATGTGTAATATTTTAGTTATTCCGAGGCCATCTGTTTCCGTCATTCCGACTGGACGACGAGTTCCTTCGGCGCTACCAAGTGGAGGAATATGTGTCTCGGAGTTCGCTCAATACGACCTTCACGCTGCGCAGGTCTGGGGATGGTAAGCGGGGCTTCCTATGTTTTATATACCTATAAAATGATATAAATAAATAGATGTAACACAGTGATATTATTGTTTTCGTACAGAGAGGAATGTAATTGTTGTAATTTATTTACTTTTTAAAATTCTTCAAAAACACATGTCGAGCTACCAAATTACCATTAAATGCCTTAAACAAATCAAAGACATGCTTGAATTTGTTAAAGTTCGTTATTCCAGATTACGTAAAAATGGAATCAATGACATGATGATAGTAAAAGTGGAATCAATGACATGACGATAGTAAAAGTGGAATCAATGACATGATGATAGTAAATGTGGAATCAATGACATGATGATAGTAAAAGTGGAATCAATGACATGATGATACTAAAAGTGGAATCAATGAAATGATGATAGTAAAAGTGGAATCAATGACATGATGATAGTAAAAGTGGAATCAATGACATGATGATAGTAAAAGTGGAATCAATGAAATGACGATTCTAAAAGTCCGAGCTAAAGAAAGTGTATTCATCAAAACTAGACTTTACCAAACAATTACAAACTCAAGGTCCAAGAACACAACTATTATACCTGTATCAAAGACTTCACCAAATAATCACATTTTCTTTGTTAATTATTAGCCACCATCAAACAACCATGTGTGTTTACTTTCTTTATATATAGACAATCCATTCTAGAAAATATAATTTGTTGTTTGCAGTTTAAAATAAATAAATTATACACTTGACATATTGGATGTTCTGAGGTATTGTGTAAGTGTACAACTATGGCTTTGTACAAGATTGTAACTGGCTAATACGGTCGACTTGAAGATCTGCAGTGATCAATGACGTTACAGATGTCCTTTATTTGCTGTTTTTCAGACACATATATCGACGCGGGGTACGAGCCGGCCTATATCGACCTGATAGGGCGTGGCTACGGCTGCAGTAACGGCGTGATCTACGTAATTGACGGCTTCCTCAACTACTCCCCCTTCAACCTCATGGAGCGGCTGCAAGGGGACTCCAATATAGAGTGAGTGGAGTTACCTCCCTTGGTGTATATTCTTTAAAGACTTTAAGGATATGTTTCACATAATTATACTGAAACACGTCCCATTTTAATTCTGGAAACCCAAAAGTCCAGAAACTCTACACTCTTTGCCCAGTCTCGGTTAAAGGTATTTACAAAATTAAACATGCCGTTTTCATGGGAACATACCAAGGAAGAAAAAATGAAAAAAAAATTGTTTAAAAACTCAATATTTAGACTATGTCGCCCATGGGCCTGCCCATGGGCGAAATCTGGCCCATGGGCGAGAATATGTTCCTTTACTTAAAACTCATGTTTTTGTTTCGCAAATACATTTAATGTATTCATTCAAGTATCATGACACAAAATTTAACTCATTTTAACTTAATTCAACGATTTTATAGCGATATTGAAATATTTCGCCCATGGGCGAGAAAAAGGTTTGGCCGATGGGCAGGCCCATGGGCGAGAATATGTTCCTTTACTTAAAACTCATGTTTTTGTTTCGCAAATACATTTAATGTATTCATTCAAGTACCATGACACAAAATTTAACTCATTTTAACTTAATTCAACGATTTTATAGCGATATTGAAATATTTCGCCCATGGGCGAGAAAAAGGTTTGGCCCATGGGCGAGAACATGTTCCTTTACTTAAAGCTCATGATATTGTTTCGCAAATACATTAAATGTATTTATTGAAGTATCATGACACAAAATTTAACTCATTTTAACCTAATTCAACGATTTTATAGCGATATTGAAATATTTCGCCCATAGGCGAGAAAAAGGTTTGGCCCATGGGCAGGCCCATGGGCGAGAATATGTTCCTTTACTTAAAACTCATGTTTTTGTTTCGCAAATACATTTAATGTATTCATTCAAGTACCATGACACAAAATTTAACTCATTTTAACTTAATTCAACGATTTTATAGCGATATTGAAATATTTCGCCCATGGGCGAGAAAAGGTTTGGCCCATGGGCGAGAACATGTTCCTTTACTCAAAACTCATGTTTTTGTTTCGCAAATACATTAAATGTATTTATTCAAGTATCATGACACAAAATTTAACTAATTTTTACTTAATTCAACTATTTTACGGCGTTATTAAAATATTTCGCCCCAGTTTTCGTCAGTCCCTTTCAAGCATCAACTAACTGTTTGCAAAGTATATTGTATCATGTGAAATATACTTTATATTATATCATTACATTACTATTTAAAAAGGGCATTTGGTTGGATGTTTCCTTTAGTTCTACAAATTTCACCTGTTTTACATACTGTAGCGATCTTTAATGAACCCGGCCTTACCTCTCGTAACGTTTTGACAGTTTATCATACGAATTCATGTGCGTGTACTCCAATTCATTGGAGTTATTTTCCACAACATTAAATTTTAGTTAGTTTCTATTTCATTTCCCATTTTATGTCCCGTTGATACATCACACTGGGCAATTACGTGACACTAGGTATGCAATATACAGGTACGCGTGCGCGTATTTTAATGAAAAAGACTATTCGTCTTTTATTGCATAACGTTTGGCTGAATATCTTACATTCTAACGAAATCTCGAAATAATTATTTAATTACATGCGGTTTCGAACTGACCAGTGGGAATTATGTTTCAATGCGATTGAGGAAAACGTGAGTGAATATTGTGACACTAAAGCAACTTTTAACTGCATTGTCACTTTTGGTATGAAAATGGTAACAGTTCAGAAAAAACAACAGCCTTCTTATGATAATTCTCATTAGTACGTTGTATCTAATTACAGTGTCGGCCTTATTTACAGGTGATTCTACAATACCTGCTCTCGGTCAATTACGATCTACCACACCACGCGTGAATAAACAGTTATGCAGGTGTTGCTGTGGGCAAATACCTAGCCTGAAAATGTTTATTTGTTTTTGGATACATGTTTTACAAATGTTCGTTGATATGTGGATATATTAAGCACAAAGACAAAAAAATGTTTATGAAAGATGAATTAGTGCCTTGATATATTCATCGAGATGTGTATCATCGTTTAATGGGGTCATTCAATAAACGTATGTTTGGAGGAGATATCAAAGGAGCCGCTCAATATACACAGTGTCGTCCGGTGAACTACCACCCCACCCTGTCCATTTGAGTTATGTAATCGGTACACAAATATATTTGATGCGGTGTCAGTGCGGAAGGAGTTTGAATTACGTCCGCCACTTGCCACAGAAATCCTCAAAGTATAGAAACAATAAACAAGGTCAATCCGTACTAATTACCTAATGACGCACGTAACAACGACTGTCAATAGGGAAAATGGTGAAAACAAATTGAAATAGATTTTAATAAAACATTATTGTACTAAATAACTCGCAAAAGCGGTGCCTAAAATTGTTTGACCGTGTTATGTGTGTTGTAATGGGCTTAATAAATTGAGAATGTATCGATGTTACAAACAAGTATATGGGACAGAATACTATGTTTCAAATAAGATGCCCAGAAACTATAGATCGGCACTAGCCAAGTTTAGATGTGGTGTGGCTCCTATTCGAGTGGAAACCGGTCGATACGAAGGTGTACCTGTCAATAATAGAAGATGTTTTCACTGTAATGACAGCGTAGAAGACGAGGTCCATGTTTTGTTTCACTGTGCATTATATGATGTTATCAGGGGAACTCTTTTTAATGAATGTATTGCTAAATCTTATAATGTTTTAGATATGCCCGATGTCGACAAACTTTGTTTTATTTTCAGTGACTCCAGTGTGTGTTTTATACTTGCCAAAGTCTGCTTTTTAATTCTTAATCGTAGAAAACATCTTTTATATGGATAACTTTTTACTATATATCTTTATATCATTTATGTATAAATTCTGTGATAATTCGTCTCTCATAATTCTACTGAATGGTTCTGTACATTTTATCTATGTCAAGTTGTATAAAGCTGTTTTATGTATGTACAGGAGTGAGACGTTAATAAACTATTGTCTGTCTGTCTGTCTGTCTGTAAACTGACGAATAGCAAGTAATTGTCATGCTGTACGCATGGTTCCATATACAAATTCAGTTATACAACCGGTATGAAACTGAGAACTGAGATACCAAGTACAACCTGCATTCACACACGGGAGCAATATACTTGTGTGTATACCCTCTCCTCTAAAAAATGTATCACTTAAGTATTTGCATTGTAATAAATATAGTAATGATAAAACTTGGTAATTTGGTAGGTCTCCGAACAGATATGATTTTCAGTTTTTTTACAGCTTTGATTGATACGGATTACGTACCTGTAGTCTAGTCACTGTCTCTAATGTATCTGCTTGTTAGAAATTTCAAATGTCTTGTTATAGCACTGTTCCTAAAATACGGCAGTTTCTTTTATCGGGTATAAATAGTTGATTCCTCTTGTCACGCAGTCATTTTTACTTGATCGAATGATTTCCACAAAAAATTACGGCAGAGAGTTTTGTATTTTATGATATTTTTAGAAGATTTTAGAAGATGCTTACATCACTGTATCTCAGAACGTAAAACTGATAACATTCAAACATGTAATTAGTACACAGTTAATTGTTTCATATAATTTCCTGCATATTCCTTTTTGAACAAAACGCCTACATGTATACTGATATCGGTGTCCACTGTTAAAAGGGTATTAGTGCAGTCAGCCATGGTAAATGGAGAGACAATAATAAGGTGATTAATTATAGTCTGTTGCAGAATATGCGGTATAAGTGTAGTCATTGATACATATACACATTACACATATACAGATGAAATACACGATATGATGCAGTGAAAGAACAAATTAAGATACGGTTTCTATTAAAAATAATTATACGATTTTGGATTTAATTAGCATGTTTAAATTTTCAGGCCAACACGGCTAAGATACAGCATCGGCATACTCAACTGGAGTTGTTTTTTGCCGGTCGTAAGTTCATTGTTTGACTGAGCACACTCGTGTCGGGGTTGCGATATTTTCTTCTCTTTGTTGGCAGCCTGCCACCGGTCTGAATTTTGAGAAAGGTCTCAGCATGGGACTGTTAATTACTTCTTAATGATGTCTACAAGCTTACAAACTTGTAGATGTTGGGTGCGGTTAGGACCAAACTTTTTCAGCTCAGAGTGTTAGTGGTCCTGGAACCCATAGTGTCAAACAGGTTCTGCACAAAACGTCCATCAGATTCTACTGTTCAGCAACATTGTCACTGAATTTCAGAACTCTGGCATGATATAATAGTCAAGGATTTCGAAGGTGAACGAGGGGAAAGGCAGGCGCACGTGGATTTACCCTCAGGTTATTATTGTCTGGAGTTCACATTTTGGGGCGTTTCATATACTAATTGAACAGAGTTCACCTGCACATGTCCACTTTAGTGATACAGACTGTAACCAAAAATGCAATGAGCCGTAGCTCTTAATCCCTTATAACAACGGTAACAACAACCAGGGTGAGGACACAGTAAGGTTAAACCGTGTCCAACAGACAATCTGAGGTGGCTATCTCCCATCAAGTCAGCTCTGTTTTTAAGCGCATAGTTATGTTTTTACATATTGAAATAAAAGGAATTTAAAAAATTATATTTAACAAACCTACACATTACCAAATACAAAACTTTATAACCCTTTCTAGACTTCGTTCCAATTAACCTGGATCATTCAACTCGCTCGCGAAGGTCGCATGCGACTTTAAAGTGAATACGTCTACAGTGTACACGTAACTTTTAACTGTATCATATATACTCATGATAAGCAATTATTTTCGTTCCTAATTCGAATGAGCACATTCTGAGGCTAAATCTGCATAAGGACAGATAAAATAGTTCTTTGTACAATGCAAACGATACAAACTTAGCGGCTGATAATAGAGACAATGATTTAATAATCTGCAATATATCAAGTGTTCTCGTTCAATCTATTGTACATATTGAAGTAATTTGTAAAGTTTCAAGGAGTACTAAAATGTTGTGGTATTATGAATGTATTTAGAATATGAATAGCGAAAAACAGTCACCATATCGGATGTACTTGTATAACTTGTCTTCCAACACCACGCTTGTGCCGAGGCCCATGGTCATAAAACTAATCGGTCCCATAAAAGGAGCAAATAGTTTCGCAGATACTTCTTGCTATGGTTCACTCCCAATTGTCAGACGACCTAATCATCAGTCAGACCAGTCAAGTGTGACCAGCGTACCTGCCTGGTTTTGGCTCCTAATTACTGAACTGCCCAATACTGTCATACTGTGGGCAGAGTAAGCGGCCTCGTTGAGTGATACAGACTAACCAGATTATGATTGTGTTTGTAAGTTGCGTTTAATCTGTGTCGGGTTGCAGTTGTTTTATTAGTCAAGACTAGGGGTAGTTTTTTCAATGAAACCTTTTAGCCGTTGAGTTTGTTTTGCATTCATTTCATTAAATACATTGTTAGGTAGAATAATAACACGTTATATGGATTAAACATCTCCCTAATCTGAGTATAATCTCACATGTACTCTAAGTACCGTGCTATATTACTTTGCGGAGACACTGAGTATAATTTTTTAGTTGGCATTGTTTGCTGTCTGATGACTTTACACAAATCCCTGCATTCAATAGACCCGTGAAGATCTTCAACAAACCATTCTTGGCGTAAAAGGGCGACAGCGCGTGTCGTAAGAAGCGACTACCGGGATCGGGTGGTCAGGCTCGCTGACTTGGTTGATGCATGTCACCGTATCCCAATTGCGTGGATCGATGCACGTAATGTCAATCACTGGATTGTCTGGTCCAGACTCGATTATTTACAGACCGCCGTCATACAGCTGAAATATTGCTAAGTGTGGCGTTATACAACTAACAAACAAACAAAACACAAAAAAAGAAAGTGTATGAGTACTAAAACTTGCAATAGATATGCGTACCCTACGTACACACATGAGTCCCATTCGACAGTCTACAACACACGAATAACTGTCAAACAAGTTTGGGTACCCCTTCTGTTCAGGCAAGTTATTTAGTTCGATAATTTTGTATTAAAATCCTTTTCAATTTGTTTTCATCCCTTTTCCCTATTCCATGCATGTTTATGTTGCTACATCTTATTGCTCATGTTTCCAAGTATTGTAAAACACTTTAATGTTTCTCCTTCTTAATCTAACGTTATAACATTTCCGGTCATTGCCATCATCTAATACACAAGAGATGATACCAAGACATATTTTATTCGGTTTTATGGTCTATGCGGTCTTACAATTGATTTTATTAGTCTTTAAATCTTATGTCTAGTAAATATTTTCACAAACAGGGCTGTTAACTGATATAAGGAATGTGACATCCAGTTGAGGACTGAATACGACGTACGTTAGTCTGGTAACGACATTTCTACAATAATTTTTTGAATAAACCGTTAATACGCCAGTTGTGACAGGGATGATGGTATGGTAGATGTAGCAGACATATTGACAGCCGTTGTTACGCGAGTCACTAGGTTATTAGTACGGCATTGGCCTTGTTGATTGGTTACATACTTTCTGTGGCCACTGGCGGACGTAATTCAAACTCCTTCCACACTGACATCGCACCAAATGTATTTGTGTACCGATTACATAACTCTTACTGACAGGGTAGGGTGGTAGTTCACGCGAAACGGACGACACTGTGTATATTGAGCGGCTCCTTTGATATCGCCTCACAACATACTTTTAATGAATAACCAATTAAACGATGATACACATCAGGATCGCGGAGAAAATACAAGCTTCGTTCGCGTTGAATATATATATCAAGGCACAAATTCATCTTTTATAAACTTTTTGTGTCTTGGTGCTTAATATATCCACATATCAACGAAAATATGTAATACATGTATCCACAAAAATATACATGTACAGGCTAGGTATTTGCCCACAGCAACACCTGCATAACTGTTTATTCACGCGTGGTGTGGGAGATTGTAATTGACTGACAACAAGTATTGTAGAATCACCTGTAAATAAGGCCGACACTGTAATTAGACACAACGTACTAATGAGAATATGAGAATTATCATAAGAAGGCTGTTACGTTTTTCTTAACTATTACCATTTTCATACCAAAAGTGACAATGCAGTTAAAAGTTGCTTTAGTGTCACAATATTCACTCACGTTTTCCTCAATCGCATTGAACAATAATTCCTACTGGTCAGTTCGACACTGCTTGTAATTAAATAATTATTTCGAGATTTCGTTAGAATGTAAGATATTCAGCCAAACGTTATGCAATAAAAGACGAATAGTTTCTTTCCATTAAAATACGCGCACGCGTACCTGTCACGTAATTGCACAGTGGGATGTATCAACGGGTCATAAAATGGGAAATGAAATAGAAACTAACTAAAATTCAATGTTGTACACGCACATGAATTCGTATGATAAACTGCCAAAACGTTTTGAGAGATAAGGCCGGGTTCATTAAAGATGTTGGGTGCGGTTAGGACCAAACCTTTTCAGCTCAGAGTGTTAGTGGTCCTGGAACCCATAGTGTCAAACAGGTTCTGCACAATACGTCCATCAGATTCTTCTGTTCTGTTCACCTCTCTTATGATAACATGTTTGCAGGCGACCAAAGGGGAGGTAACTCGCTTCGTGTTGCGTCTCAGCTACCAAAGTCGGCTTAATTATCAGAAGAATCCATTTCGTGGGTTCGAGTCCAGATTCGTCCCAATAATTGTCCACAATATGTATGCACGTGCTCATCATCTTAAACCTGAAATACCTGTATTCCAAGTTCACTTTATTTGCAAAACATATTCAGGCACATTGTGTGAATCTCGTTAACCCGAGATATAAGGCGCAAGTCCTGACTCACTCGGAGTTTTCCATTTTCAGTACCCATGTCTGAATGCTTTATTGCAGGCACTCTCTCGGATATCTGCTGCGCCTGCTGAACAATACGTCGGAAACACTGCTGTCACGTGAAGACAAGACCTACACCTTGCTCATTCCCCGCAACCTGGCTCTGAGAAAACTCACGTATACAGATTTCATGACTTTGGATAATTTCCCGCCGTCGGAGAGAATGAAAGTGAGTATTGACCCCAAACCATGATCTTCTTAAAAGCGGTCGTTTCGGCGGGCACACAGGCATAATACACGTGTATCTCCTTGTAATTTTATATAGACATGTTAAGGACAGATGCTGTGTTTGTTTGTTTGTTTGTTGTTTAACGCTGCACTTAGCAATATTCCAGCTATATGACGCGGTCTGTAAATAATCGAGTCTGAGTCAGACAATCCAGTGATTGATATCATGAGCATCGAATAATTGGGAAACGATGACATGCATCAACCAAGTCAGCGAGCCTGACCACCAGATCCTGTTAGTCGCCACTTACGACAAACACTTAACAACAAACCCAATAAAAGAGGAGGGCATACTTACACTACAATTGAGGATCGGGTGGTCAAAATGTCATCAGAATTATAGTGTGCCAGGATGTCCTAGTGGCATTGAGCATTGATCATGTTATCAACCACTGGTTAATATTACCAGGCCTCGATTATTTACTTGAAAGAGGGGCGGTCGGGTAGCCTAGTGGTTAAAGCGTTCGCTCGTCACGTCAAAGACCCAGGTTCGATTCCCGACATGGGTACAATGTGTGAAGCCCATTTCTGGTGTCCCCCGCCGTGATATTGCTTGAATATTGCGTAAAGCGGCGTAAAACCATACTCACTCACTCGCTACTGGAAAGTTGTCAACTGCGGCATGAAACATCATTCAATCGTTCACATTAATTGACCATTTATGTTTACGTTTCTGTTCAAAGGTGTTCTGGCGCCATGTTTTAAATGACACGGAAGTGACGTATCACGATTTAAAACAGGGCACAGTGAGGTCGGATGTTCTCCCAAAAGATGTTATGTTGGAAACAAACCAAGACGGTAAGATAAAATACAGATTAACAAAATCCTAATCGTATCTCTGTAATTACAGCGACTCTAGAAGAGTGTGGCTTCTCTATTCGATTCCATTGAAGCGGTACGGTCATCAATGGGTGTCGCCCATTTCTGGCGTCCAGTAATGATAGAGACGGAGTAATTCTAAAAATGATGTAAACACCTTATTAAACAAACTCATGGAATTTCATATCAGTGCAATTGTTTGAGGAATTTAACATATCATAAATAACATCACACGTTGTTCGAGGTAAATTATGCAGCTTGGGTTTTCTAAAGGCTTGATAAAAAAACATGCAACTAGAATATGTAGTGTGGAAATCAGTATAATCATATTGTTTTCTTCATGTTCAGGTGTATTTTTCAAATGGAGGCACGTCCAGTCCAAGGTTGTGGAGTACGACCGCCTCGCCTCAAATGGCGTCATCCATATTGTAGACAGCTTCCTGTTTACGACTTCAGACCCGAAAACGACACCAAGATCTACAACATATGTGCCCACGTCAACAACGAGGGTACTTCCGGTTTCTGAAACCGGGTGTGTGCTGAACCATCCTTGCCTTACAGTGTTACTGATGCTCTCCTCTGCAACATTCAGCCTCTTCACGTGACCACTGAAGCATAACACATCACCCCTTGCGTATAATAACAATAATAAACAACGTGCGCCGAGCACAAGGAAGTCCCCGTGTGTATATAGGTGTGAAAGACTTCAAACCAAAGAGGAGGATGTCTGTTCATATGTGTATCTTACGAATGCAACCAGTATTGAAAATACTCATATGTAAATATACACGTTAAAAGGCACACCCTGAAGTGTAGATTCAGTAACAGGTATTCAAAATGCCTTCACCTCTCTTTATATCTCTGTTAACCCTGTATGATAATGTTTGTTAGTTTATTGATTAATGTGGCTCCGCCTGGTGTGAATAATACAACGGTTACTAAGACAACATGCAAAGTGATTATTTCATTACGTCTGCATCTGGGGTTATCTCCCCTTAAAGGCCATCCCCACGGCGGGTAACTTGATGTCCTTAACGTACATCAGTCTGACGTAGGGAGGGTTACTTCTACCTACAGCTTCATCATGACGACATGGAAAGTGATTTTCTGCCTTACGTCTACATGACGTGGACGTGGAAGAATTACCTCCCTTGTACATATCATCGGCAGTCTAAAATTCAAAATACAAGTACAAGAGGGTTTCTCTCCTTGCACACAGACCACAGGGACATAAAAGGTGTTACCCTCCTTACCGATACATCCTATTGGCGTGTAAGGATACATTACGATTTCGTACAAGAGTTACCTCTTCTTACAGCATACGACGTATAACGGTATCGTCCTTACATCAAAAGTAGCTATTCCCCTTTGATTGAGTCCCGACGCCGTGTACATAATCAGCGCATGCGCAGCTACGGTTTTATTCTGTGAGTCGTTTACACACTGTTTTCATTACTGTTGGAAATTCCAACATGTATCAATGTTTTTAATACCCCATTCTTTCGGTACAAATGGTATTGCCAACATAACCTGTACGCTACAATGTATCCCTACACAAGCTGGTTGGTTGGTTGGTTTGTTGTTTAACGCCGCACTCAGCAATATTCCAGCTATATGACGGCGGTCTGTAAATAATCGAGTCTGGACCAGACAATCCAGTGATTGACATCATGAGCATCGATCCACGGAATTGTGATCGATGACATGCATCAACCAACTCAGCGAGCCTGACCACCCGATCCCGTTAGTCGCCTTTTACGACAAGCATAGTCGCCTTTTACAGTAAGCATGGGTTGCTGAAGACCTATTCTACCCCGGATCTTCACGTCTCCCCTACACAAGTACACATGTTGTTCGGGTTTACATCTCCAGTTGGGGATTGTCTCATTGTATGTAAAGACAGTCCGTATCAGATTGTATGTCAATTACATTCACATACGCTTGACTAAAACCAAATGAAACAAGATGATGCCGCAGTCTGGACAGCCAAAACGTATATGTATATCAAATCATTTCGCAAATGAAGTATCGTTACACCTACTTTGCCTTTTTAACAATGTTTACACATTTGTAATACTTTTGTCTTCTGTAAAACTGTAACTTCATAATTTCCATGTGTTGGTGTGCTAACATTTAAACAGGTCGATACATTATTATTTCAACACGAGCGACGTTCCATAAGTGACTTCTATAAAGTCACAATATCACGTTGGAATATGATATCTCACTCGCTTTTCGTTTGTCACAAGACGCCTTATCTTTGACATCTAACCTATTGTCACTAGCCTCGATCGCTTCATATCACCGATTGGTTTGCACGTACATTGTCGTAAAAACAGTTCGATGTACGGCAGTTCGAGTTGCGCAGTGACAACGAAATCATATCAGTTGACCTCCTTAACAGAAGCATATTTTTACCATGGACGACACCCTGCATTCATAATATTCAATACTGTGTCAAAATATGTCGGCACTGCAGTTGCCATAGCAACTGCAAAACATCACCATCTGACCATTGCACCTGGATTTGCATACTTCGTGCAGGCTATGACAGCAGGTGTGGAAGGTGTGCTCGTGGACAACAGTGCAGATGTCCACGTGGTGCGTTCATCTCACTCGCACGATCTCCACGTGCAACGCGTCGCACTCTACCACGTCCACTGTTTAATGAAAATGGAACGCCTTTTGTCCCAAAACGCAAATTTTATTAACGTTTGTCTTGCAAACAAATGATTATAATTTCAGATTTTTCATGTCCTTCAGCCACCATAGTGTGGGACGAAAAATATGATAATGTCGACGACACCTCATACTTATTGTCATTCATCTCTGTTGATATGTTGTTCGTTTTACGTTACATATATTGTGATGTGTGAGTGACGGCCACGTGTCATCTTCATGTCAGTTGAATGTTTATTAATTTGTATACAAATACTCGCACGTCATCATGTTTTGTTTATAATGTTAACATATCGTATGTCCAGTGAAAATCTCATGAGATACAAAATGTGTTTTTGTAAAACATGATAATCTCCAGTGTACGGTACAGGCAAGTTGTTGTATCAGTCTGTGTACCTCCGTATCAATTCCGGTATTAATGTTACAATGGAGGACACTATATGTTTGGAAAGACATTCTCGAAGTTTATAGTAAACCCCCGCCTTTCCGGAAACCCTGAATTCCGGACGACGGCCGCTGGAATTGTCTCCACTTGATTCTCTAATCCGGACACTTGTGAAACTTGGCGATTTCCCATGTTCGGGTTATCAGGGTTGAACAAAACCCGGGTATAGAATCATTGACCTGGTCTTCACCCAATACCAGCTGTGGGTAACGGTCGGTCCACACCACCCTCAAAAGCCCCACCCCAAGTGTCATTTTGTGAATATAGTGCGTGACTGAGTGAGTTTGACTTAACGCCGCTGTGAACAGTATTTCAGTAATATCGCGGCGTGTCAGCTTCAAGTAGGAGATGTCACGAGCAAGGGCAAGATGCCCACAATCTAGAAACAACATCAGTGCGATTCACTGGTTTAGGTACAAGGGGTCAGTGACATAAGGGACGCAGATCTGCACCTTAGACAGCGCCATCCTTGCCCCTTCCATATGTAAGATGACGTCATGGCTTTAGGAAGGTCTCGCTGGTGAGACACTGATTATTTTTGACCGTTCAAGGTTAATTTGGGTGGAGTTTGTGCCAAATATTAATCCTGTAGTCTCCTCAACGGGGCTGTTGGCTACATCAGCGGTCAAACAGTTGGTCTCGTCGTGATATGGTTTGGATGAACCTGAAATCGGACCCCCCCCCCCCCCCCCCCCCCAACACACACAATAGGTGACTACTCCTATCCCCACCCCCCAACCCCCGACCCTCGCCCCTGACATGAATTCAATATCCTTATTCGATATATAAAACAAGGCCCTTCTTATGACGTTAGTGTTAGTACATATATTCTTACGAACAATAGTCCAGTAATCTTACTCAGCTCTATACGATACACATGTGCATCACGTTTTATTCCCGATTTGACAAGCAATAATCATGCTTTTACTCTTAATGTCTGACTTTAGCTAGTTATTGATCCTCATTGAGTGAAGGAACGTTTAATATGCGTAAATGCATTTCTTTATGTCCTGTAAATTACACTGTAAATAATGACAAAAGAAAACATGTGCGAAGATGTGTCGCTTACAAATTTGCCTTCTTGCAATAACTATGTCCATGTGTCGAGCCCTTCTCGCCGACTGTACATAGTCCCATGCACCATGTGTACGGGGTCAAGGGTCACTGTACATACTGCTTGTATAACCACCTACCCTGGTATATTAGTCAATGTTATGTTATCACAACAATCAAATAAAACATCCTAATACAACACCTTGTTTCCTGGTTTTCTGTCACATGATCCGTTACACCTTATCAGTGCTTCTGGTTTGATGTGAGGTGAAATGGGGTCAACGTCGTTTTCAAGATTATTGAATGGACGTATGTGTGTGGCTGCTTGTGCTAGTCCGGACTGATGCCGATTTTATAGTGCTAGTCCACTGAAATCCATTGCCGCAGTTTAACATGAATACCCAACTCAGACACAGTATACTGACTCCGAGCCGACCAGTCCTTGTTTTAGCCCCTTAATGCCGAGCGCCAGACAGGGTAACAACAAGTACCATATTTTACGTCTTTTGGTATATGACGCGGCCCGCTTTCCGGGCGGACGCTCTACCAGTAGACCAGGGAGGCGGTCACTTCTGGATTGAATTGGTTAAAGTCTATATATACTCTCCACGTTACTCCATGCTTTGTTAATGAAGATAATGATACTTTACGTTTAATTAGTTAGTTATGCATCCATGTTAGGAATCGAACTGGTGTATTCGGTATGAAAAATACAAATACCATTTGGCCTAACTGTCCCTACCGATGAGCTAAATAAGACGCGTGGCCCTTCAGCACATTACCACGTGATATCCTTGAACCGCCAGGCGGACGACGAGTTTAAGCATACGTGAATGAGTTCAATGCTGCAGTCATGTCACGGCGTGTCAGCTTGATGTGGGAGTAAAGTCGGAGGTGAGGTGAGGTGAGGTGAGGTGAAATGGGGTTTAACGTCGCGTCCAAGATTATTGCACTTATATAGCGACGTGCATGCACGTGTATGTGTGGCTGCTTGTACTAGTCCGGACTGATGCCGATTTATAGTGCTAGCTCACTGAGATATCAAGCCGCAGTTTAACATGAATACCCCACTCAGACACTGTATACTGACTCCGAGCCGACTAGTCCTTGTTTAGCCCCTTAATGCCGAGGGCCAGACAGGGTAACAACAAGTACCATCTTTTGACGTCTTTTGGTATGACGCGGCCGGGGATCGACTCCCGGACCGTCCGCTCTCTGGGCGGACGGACCGCCACTAGACCACGGAGGCGATCCAGTGACAGTGTAAGAAGGCGGTCTCAAGCCCGGAGTGACACAGTAACCCATTGATTAAACTCTCGAGCGCTCACGGATATGACAAAACAAGATCATAATCAGGGCGAATCTGGGATTCAAACCCACAATCATCGGATCCTGGAACGAATAAGGGACGCAACTCTCCACATGAAAAAGGCTAAATGCATGCATTGAAGAGAAAAGAGAGAAGGTATGGATATATTGTTACAGCATATACAACATAGGATGAATGCTCTGTTCGGTGCACACTACCATGAGCAGGCCTGTGTATTGTGTGAGTGAGTGAGTGTACGTTGTTTACACACTGGTGTAGAGGAACGTGCATCAAACACTCCACAGTTTTAGATTCTGCAGGATTTTCTCTCTATTTTATTATGTTATGTTAGTCAAAATCAAATTACTAAACGACGTCTGGAAATTAGATTCATCGTAAATGTAGCTATTTTCGCCTTTTTACGAAGTAAATAATTAAATCTACACTGATTCCCTGCGTTATTTCGTGTAGGTTTTGAAATGTAACTATCGGAAGGTTACTCAATTACAAAACTAGCACACTGGTGATCACAAGTATCTGCACTTTATCTGACGCTGAGTGAGTTGATGTCTCCACTTGAGACACCGAAACTTTTTAATCTTTGAAAAAACCCGACTAAGGGTAGTATGCAGGACAACCTACTCACATGTCGGAATTATTGATTATCTATCTCGTGAAATAATGTTAAAAATGAATTCGCTAGGGGCAACAATTTCCTCAATAATTCCTCATAGCTCGCAGGTTATTCTCTAAATCTTAGCTGTGGACTGCTGATTATCTTCGCCCACCACGACACTAATGTCATTTTATATCACTAGCTTGTTTATTTTGTCTAGAGTCGCTGACATTGCTTGACGTCTGTATAACGACAACCGGACATTAAAGTCAAACAATAACAGCGGTTTTGATTCTTTCCTCATTCGGGCAACTTTACGACTGTTAAATAACAAGGAAATGTAAAGTGAACTATTGCAGGCTGCCAAGTCCTTTGAAAATACATGTAATCTCACATTTAAAACAAGGACGTTAACATCCGACCGATAGCCCGTCGTCGGCCTACCAGCCAGTCGAGCGAAAAGCGGATGTGTTTAGCCCTGACATGAATGTATTGCACAATACCTATTTACTTCATGGCGAGGCTTTCACGCTGGTACGGGTGGGTATTGCGTGTGTGTGGCTCGTGTGAGGTGTTTACAAGCTGTGTGAAGGAAGCAGAGCACGGGGGACGTGGTGGTAAGTGTTCTTAGCTGTGAATGTATCCACATATCCTGCAGTGGCCGGTGTGCGCTTTATTGTGTGTAGGATTATGTGCTCTGATAGTCTATACTCTAAACACATGGACTTGATGCTTGGGTGTGAACGGTATGCACGGAGTTATTCGTAGCTGTGTCAACAGCTTCGCGATCCCCGTGGAGCACGACCGACTTCTGAAAGTGAATGATTTACGTGTCGATGTCAAGGATCGTAACCCGGGGGAATAATGCTATAGTTATAGGTATTCCGTTGTCCGGGTGTGCACTGATGTGTGGACATTGAGTGGAGGTGAGCAGTCGGGCCGAGTCTTGTCGCTAAGTGTGACAGGGACTTGAATGAGGTAGTGACACACTGGCAGGTCACACTGACATGACGAGACGGCCGCGATGTTACACTCACTCTCTGGTGATCATTAGCGGGCGTGTCTAAAATCAATCTCCTCCACGTGATGTGTGAACTGTAGGATGTATGGAGGTAAGTGTTGTGTCAGGATACTGTTGGACGTGTTGAGGTAAGTGTTGTGTCAGGATACTGTAGGACGTGTTGAGGTAAGTGTTGTGTCAGGATACTGTAGGACGTGTTGAGGTAAGTGTTGTGTCAGGATACTGTAGGACGTGTTGAGGTAAGTGTTGTGTCAGGATACTGTAGGACGTGTTGAGGTAAGTGTTGTGTCAGGATACTGTAGGACGTGTTGAGGTAAGTGTTGTGTCAGGATACTGTAGGGCGTGTTGAGGTAAGTGTTGTGACAGGATACTGCAGGACGTGTTGAGGTAAGTGTTGTGTCAGGATACTGTAGGACGTGTTGAGGTAAGTGTTGTGTCAGGATACTGTACTACGTGTTGAGGTAAGTGTTGTGTCAGGATACTGTAGGACGTGTTGAGGTAAGTGTTGTGTCAGGATACTGTAGGACGTGTTGAGGTAAGTGTTGTGTCAGGATACTGCAGGACGTGTTGAGGTAAGTGTTGTGTCAGGATACTGTAGGACGTGTTGAGGTAAGTGTTGTGTCAGGATACTGTAGGACGTGTTGAGGTAAGTGTTGTGTCAGGATACTGTAGGACGTGTTGAGGTAAGTGTTGTGTCAGGATACTGTAGGACGTGTTGAGGTAAGTGTTGTGTCAGGATACTGTAGGGCGTGTTGAGGTAAGTGTTGTGACAGGATACTGTAGGACGTGTTGAGGTAAGTGTTGTGTCATGGTACTGTAGGACGTGTTGAGGTAAGTGTTGTGTCAGGATACTGTAGGACGTGTTGAGGTTAGTGTTGTGTCAGGATACTGTAGGACGTGTTGAGGTAAGTGTTGTGTCAGGATACTGTAGGGCGTGTTGAGGTAAGTGTTGTGACAGGATACTGTAGCACGTGTTGAGGTAAGTGATGGTAAGGATACTGTAGGACGTGTTGAGGTAAGTGTTGTGTCAGGATACTGTAGGACGTGTTGAGGTAAGTGTTGTGTCAGGATACTGTAGGGCGTGTTGAGGTAAGTGTTGTGACAGGATACTGTAGCACGTGTTGAGGTAAGTGATGGTAAGGATACTGTAGGACGTGTTGAGGTAAGTGTTGTGTCAGGATACTGTAGGACGTGTTGAGGTAAGTGTTGTGTCAGGATACTGTAGGGCGTGTTGAGGTAAGTGTTGTGACAGGATACTGTAGGACGTGTTTAGGTAAGTGATGGTAGGGATACTGTTGGACGTGTTGAGGTAAGTGTTGTGTCAGGATACTGTAGGACGTGTTGAGGTAAGTGTTGTGTCAGGATACTGTAGGACGTGTTGAGGTAAGTGTTGTGTCATGGTACTGTAGGACGTGTTGAGGTAAGTGTTGTGTCAGGATACTGTAGGACGTGTTGAGGTAAGTGTTGTGTCAGGATACTGTAGGGCGTGTTGAGGTAAGTGTTGTGTCAGGATACTGTAGGGCGTGTTGAGGTAAGTGTTGTGACAGGATACTGTAGGACGTGTTGAGGTAAGTGTTGTGTCAGGATACTGTAGGACGTGTTGAGGTAAGTGTTGTGTCAGGATACTGTAGCACGTGTTGAGGTAAGTGTTGTGTCAGGATACTGTAGGACGTGTTGAGGTAAGTGTTGTGTCAGGATACTGTAGGACGTGTTGAGGTAAGTGTTGTGTCAGGATACTGTAGCACGTGTTGAGGTAAGTGTTGTGTGAGGATACTGTAGGACGTGTTGAGGTAAGTGTTGTGTCAGGATACTGTTGGACGTGTTGAGGTAAGTGTTGTGTCAGGATACTGTAGGACGTGTTGAGGTAAGGGTTGTGTCAGGATACTGTAGGACGTGTTGAGGTAAGTGTTGTGTCAGGATACTGTAGGGCGTGTTGAGGTAAGTGTTGTGACAGGATACTGTAGGACGTGTTGAGGTAAGTGTTGTGTCAGGATACTGTAGGACGTGTTGAGGTAAGTGTTGTGTCAGGATACTGTAGGACGTGTTGAGGTAAGTGTTGTGTCAGGATACTGTAGGACGTGTTGAGGTAAGTGTTGTGTCAGGATACTGTAGGACGTGTTGTGTCAGGATACTGTAGGACGTGTTGAGGTAAGTGTTGTGTCAGGATACTGTAGCACGTGTTGAGGTAAGTGTTGTGTGAGGATACTGTAGGACGTGTTGAGGTAAGTGTTGTGTCAGGATACTGTTGGACTTGTTGAGGTAAGTGTTGTGTCAGGATACTGTAGGACGTGTTGAGGTAAGGGTTGTGTCAGGATACTGTAGGACGTGTTGAGGTAAGTGTTGTGTGAGGATACTGTAGGGCGTGTTGAGGTAAGTGTTGTGACAGGATACTGTCGGACGTGTTGAGGTAAGTGTTGTGTCAGGATACTCTAGCACGTGTTGAGGTAAGTGTTGTGTCAGGATACTTTAGGTCGTGTTGAGGTAAGTGTTGTGTCAGGATACTGTAGGACGTGTTGAGGTAAGTGTTGTGTCAGGATACTGTAGGACGTGTTGAGGTAAGTGTTGTGTCAGGATACTGTAGCACGTGTTGAGGTAAGTGTTGTGTCAGGATACTGTAGGGCGTGTTGAGGTAAGTGTTGTGACAGGATACTGTAGGACGTGTTGAGGTAAGGGTTGTGTCAGGATACTGTAGGACGTGTTGAGGTAAGTGTTGTGTGAGGATACTGTAGGGCGTGTTGAGGTAAGTGTTGTGACAGGATACTGTCGGACGTGTTGAGGTAAGTGTTGTGTCAGGATACTCTAGCACGTGTTGAGGTAAGTGTTGTGTCAGGATACTTTAGGTCGTGTTGAGGTAAGTGTTGTGTCAGGATACTGTAGGACGTGTTGAGGTAAGTGTTGTGTCAGGATACTGTAGGACGTGTTGAGGTAAGTGTTGTGTCAGGATACTGTAGCACGTGTTGAGGTAAGTGTTGTGTCAGGATACTGTAGGGCGTGTTGAGGTAAGTGTTGTGACAGGATACTGTAGGGCGTGTTGAGGTAAGTGTTGTGACAGGATACTGTAGGACGTGTTGAGGTAAGTGTTGTGTCAGGATACTGTAGGACGTGTTGAGGTAAGTGTTGTGTCAGGATACTGTAGGACGTGTTGAGGTAAGTGTTGTGTCAGGATACTGTAGGACGTGTTGAGGTAAGTGTTGTGTCAGGATACTGTAGGACGTGTTGTGTCAGGATACTGTAGGACGTGTTGAGGTAAGTGTTGTGTCAGGATACTGTAGCACGTGTTGAGGTAAGTGTTGTGTGAGGATACTGTAGGACGTGTTGAGGTAAGTGTTGTGTCAGGATACTGTTGGACTTGTTGAGGTAAGTGTTGTGTCAGGATACTGTAGGACGTGTTGAGGTAAGGGTTGTGTCAGGATACTGTAGGACGTGTTGAGGTAAGTGTTGTGTGAGGATACTGTAGGGCGTGTTGAGGTAAGTGTTGTGACAGGATACTGTCGGACGTGTTGAGGTAAGTGTTGTGTCAGGATACTCTAGCACGTGTTGAGGTAAGTGTTGTGTCAGGATACTTTAGGTCGTGTTGAGGTAAGTGTTGTGTCAGGATACTGTAGGACGTGTTGAGGTAAGTGTTGTGTCAGGATACTGTAGGACGTGTTGAGGTAAGTGTTGTGTCAGGATACTGTAGCACGTGTTGAGGTAAGTGTTGTGTCAGGATACTGTAGGACGTGTTGAGGTAAGTGTTGTGTCAGGATACTGTAGGACTTGTTGAGGTAAGTGTTGTGTCAGGATACTGTAGGACGTGTTGAAGTAAGTGTTGTGTCAGGATACTGTAGGACGTGTTGAGGTAAGTGTTGTGTCATGATACTGTAGGACGTGTTGAGGTAAGTGTTGTGTCAGGATACTGTAGGGCGTGTTGAGGTAAGTGTTGTGATAGGATACTGGAGGACGTGTTGAGGTAAGTGTTGTGTCAGGATACTGTAGGACGTGTTGAGGTAAGTGTTGTGTCAGGATACTGTAGGACGTGTTGAGGTAAGTGTTGTGTCAGGATACTGTAGCACGTGTTGAGGTTAGTGTTGTGTCAGGATACTGTAGGACGTGTTGAGGTAAGTGTTGTGTCAGGATACTGTAGGACGTGTTGAGGTAAGTGTTGTGTCAGGATACTGTAGGGCGTGTTGAGGTAAGTGTTGTGTCAGGATACTGTAGGGCGTGTTGAGGTAAGTGTTGTGACAGGATACTGTAGGACGTGTTGAAGTAAGTGTTGTGTCAGGATACTGTAGGACGTGTTGAGGTAAGTGTTGTGTCAGGATACTGTAGGACGTGTTGAGGTAAGGGTTGTGTCAGGATACTGTAGGACGTGTTGAGGTAAGTGTTGTGTCAGGATACTGTAGGGCGTGTTGAGGTAAGTGTTGTGACAGGATACTGTAGGACGTGTTGAGGTAAGTGTTGTGTCAGGATACTGTAGGACGGGTTGAGGTAAGTGTTGTGTCAGGATACTGTAGGACGTGTTGAGGTAAGTGTTGTGTCAGGATACTGTAGGACGTGTTGAGGTAAGTGTTGTGTCAGGATACTGTAGGACGTGTTGTGTCAGGATACTGTAGGACGTGTTGAGGTAAGTGTTGTGTCAGGATACTGTAGAACGTGTTGAGGTAAGTGTTGTGTGAGGATACTGTAGGACGTGTTGAGGTAAGTGTTGTGTCAGGATACTGTAGGACGTGTTGAGGTAAGGGTTGTGTCAGGATACTGTAGGACGTGTTGAGGTAAGTGTTGTGTCAGGATACTGTAGAACGTGTTGAGGTAGGTGTTGTGTCAGGATACTGTTGGACGTGTTGAGGTAAGTGTTGTGTCAGGATACTGTAGGACGTGTTGAGGTAAGGGTTGTGTCAGGATACTGTAGGACGTGTTGAGGTAAGTGTTGTGTGAGGATACTGTAGGGCGTGTTGAGGTAAGTGTTGTAACAGGATACTGTAGGACGTGTTGATGTAAGTGTTGTGTCAGGATACTGTAGCACGTGTTGAGGTAAGTGTTGTGTCAGGATACTGTAGCACGTGTTGAGGTAAGTGTTGTGTCAGGATACTGTAGGACGTGTTGAGGTAAGTGTTGTGTCAGGATACTGTAGGACTTGTTGAGGTAAGTGTTGTGTCAGGATACTGTAGGACGTGTTGAAGTAAGTGTTGTGTCAGGATACTGTAGGACGTGTTGAGGTCAGTGTTGTGTCAGGATACTGTAGGACGTGTTGAGGTAAGTGTTGTGTCAGGATACTGTAGGACGTGTTGAGGTAAGTGTTGTGTCAGGATACTGTAGGACGTGTTGAGGTAAGTGTTGTGTCAGGATACTGTAGGACGTGTTGAGGTAAGTGTTGTGTCAGGATACTGTAGGACGTGTTGAGGTAAGTGTTGTGTCAGGATACTGTAGCACGTGTTGAGGTAAGTGTTGTGTCAGGATACTGTAGGACGTGTTGAGGTAAGTGTTGTGTCAGGATACTGTAGGACGTGTTGAGGTAAGTGTTGTGTCAGGATACTGTAGGTCGTGTTGAGGTAAGTGTTGTGTCAGGATACTGTAGGACGTGTTGAGGTAAGTGTTGTGTCAGGATACTGTAGGACGTGTTGAGGTAAGTGTTGTGTCAGGATACTGTAGAACGTGTTGAGGTAGGTGTTGTGTCAGGATACTGTTGGACGTGTTGAGGTAAGTGTTGTGTCAGGATACTGTAGGACGTGTTGAGGTAAGGGTTGTGTCAGGATACTGTAGGACGTGTTGAGGTAAGTGTTGTGTGAGGATACTGTAGGGCGTGTTGAGGTAAGTGTTGTAACAGGATACTGTAGGACGTGTTGAGGTAAGTGTTGTGTCAGGATACTGTAGCACGTGTTGAGGTAAGTGTTGTGTCAGGATACTGTAGCACGTGTTGAGGTAAGTGTTGTGTCAGGATACTGTAGGACGTGTTGAGGTAAGTGTTGTGTCAGGATACTGTAGGACTTGTTGAGGTAAGTGTTGTGTCAGGATACTGTAGGACGTGTTGAAGTAAGTGTTGTGTCAGGATACTGTAGGACGTGTTGAGGTCAGTGTTGTGTCAGGATACTGTAGGACGTGTTGAGGTAAGTGTTGTGTCAGGATACTGTAGGACGTGTTGAGGTAAGTGTTGTGTCAGGATACTGTAGGACGTGTTGAGGTAAGTGTTGTGTCAGGATACTGTAGGACGTGTTGAGGTAAGTGTTGTGTCAGGATACTGTAGGACGTGTTGAGGTAAGTGTTGTGTCAGGATACTGTAGCACGTGTTGAGGTAAGTGTTGTGTCAGGATACTGTAGCACGTGTTGAGGTAAGTGTTGTGTCAGGATACTGTAGGACGTGTTGAGGTAAGTGTTGTGTCAGGATACTGTAGGTCGTGTTGAGGTAAGTGTTGTGTCAGGATACTGTAGGACGTGTTGAGGTAAGTGTTGTGTCAGGATACTGTAGGACGTGTTGAGGTAAGTGTTGTGTCAGGATACTGTAGGTCGTGTTGAGGTAAGTGTTGTGTCAGGATACTGTAGGTCGTGTTGAGGTAAGTGTTGTGTCAGGATACTGCAGCACGTATTGAGGTAAGTGTTGTGTCAGGATACTGTAGCACGTGTTGAGGTAAGTGATGGTAAGGATACTGTAGGACGTGTTGAGGTAAGTGTTGTGTCAGGATACTGCAGCACGTATTGAGTTACGTGATGGTAAGGATACTGTAGGACGTGTTGTGATAAGTGTTTTGTTAGAATGATGTGTATGTGTTTGTATGTTTAGACAGGATACTCTTAGTATTTTTTCTGCTTTTGTTGTTTACATAGCTTTCATTGGGATAATTTGTAGGATTAATAATCTTGAATATTTTTGGAAACAAACAACCATTTGGTATGAAGAGATTTAAAATAGCTACGATTTGAAAGAGAAACGATTGGAAAATTGACGGAGACGAGAAAATGGTTGACAGGAATGAAGGATGGAAAAAGTCATGATCGGGATTTTCACTGAGAAGGAAATTCATGCTGATTTTGCGTCCGCTTACTACGCAGCAGACCATCCATTTAGTCAGTATATTACTTCCATACGCCCTACAACACAATACACAGACTTCATGAATACGTTAGGATAGATTTACCACAGGATAACATTGTATAAATTCTAATCAGGGGAACACATTTAGATTCGGAAATCCCTGATGACGTAATAATATGCATATTAGGTAAATTCATAATACCAGCTGTAATGTTTCTGAACTTTAAAACTTAATATTGCGGAGAGGGAAAAAATTATGTGAATAATATTATCGCACACACCATGATATTAATATTCAACAGCTTAATAGAACAATGTGTGCATATTTCCTTGTCAAATATTGCATCCTTTCTCCATACCTGCATCACTTCGGGCTTTCTTCCCACATCAAGCTGACAAGCCGCGATATAACTGGAATACTGTTAAAAGTGTGGGAAAACCCAACTCACTCACTCACTCACTCCTTTCTCCATACCAAATTCCCATTAAAGTTATGATATTCTGAATTTACAAATTGAACGTTTATATATATAATTATATAAATAATCAATGTGTGCGTGCGTGCGTGCGTGCGTGCGTGTAATGCCTATTATTTTTTGTACTAATGCTAAGTAACATTGTATATGCACATTTGTAATCACCCCAACTACAGGTACCAGCACAACTCTGGGTATCATTATACATGACAAGGTAACATCGATTATACATAATAGGGACTTCATGTTTCAGTGACGTCATCCGTCCAGACATGGCCGCTGGGAGAGACACGGCGTATGGGGAATACACGACGCTTCAACTGCAACTCGATAAACGTACACGAGACACGGAACTGTTAATACAAAAGAGACAAGCGTTCCTAAAAACGAAGGAGAAGGTGAAAACGAACATTTCTAAAACCTTTCAGAATATCAGAGAGGTGCTGGATTTAAAAGAGCAAAGCCTGATATCACACATCGAAAGGCGGGCACAGTCCGAGTTGGAGGCCCTGGATGCCTTTATAGCCTCTGAACAACATGAGGCTGCGAGACGGGAAGAACGGTTCCAAGATCTCGTCAATGATTTACAAAGAAATGACGCCAGCAGCGTTGCTTGTGACATTGAGAAATTCACAAAGGAGTTACGTCTAAATGATCTGAAGCCACTGCCGAAACTCCCTTTCATTGACGCAAAGAGCCATGATGAAGATGTCACTGACTGCGTCACGAAACTCCGAGTTTGTTCGGTTCGGTTTGTTGAGGACAACGTGCCTTCTTCTCAACTTGTGAACAAGGTGTTGGTTCTGTTTGATGATGACCCCCGTGATTGTAATATTAAAGACATCACTGTGGTTGGGGGCGAGATGTACGTCGTCATCATGACAGACTTTGCAAACCGACGGGTGAAGGCGCTGTGTGGGGAGGGGGGAGACTTCCCACAGAGGAAGGACAAACTGGACATGAAGCACGGGCCTTGGGGTTTGACCAAAATCTCCGACTTTGAAGTGGCAGCTACTGTCCCGGAGGAGAAGAAAATTGTATTTATTCGCATTATCGATGATATGCATGTGAGGAGAACTGTTAAAACAAAGAAGAAGTATTGTGGAATAGCATCTCTGGAAGATGGAACATTTGCCGTCTGTTGTGAAGACTCGCCGTCGGTGGACATTCTGAACATGGATGGTCAGTGGATGAAAGACTTGTCGAAATGCTACTCTAGCTCGTTCAAGGCACCGACATCGATGTCTGTCACGTCATCGGGGAACCTTGCTGTAGCGGATGCCGTCTTCAAGTGTGTTATGATTATCAACAGGGATGGTGAGCTATTGACCACTAAGCCTTCAACAGCTGACCGTTTGAAGTCAGCAGTCGCTGTTAGCTGTGACGCCTCGGGTCACGTCTTCGTTGTCGACAACGTTGAAAGTAGTGTCGTCATGGTCAGCGAGGACCAGTCCAGTGCTGTATCATGTGATATTGCCAACGGCAAAGTAGACACACCCACTGCTATAGGTCTTGACAGTAGAGGGCATCTGTATGTTACAGATGGCAAATTCCTTAATGTGTTTAAGATCACATATTAAACTCTACAGATCGCGTATAGGAAATGTTGCCTTCAGCAGGATATGCATATTGATAATATACATCACTTCCTACATAAGAAAGTATTGTACTTGTGTACATGTGCATGGAAATACGCCCATATCCAATGGTTGTTTTTGTAGAGCAAGCGAAATCATTACACAGCTCTGTCACAAAGCAATATTTAATCACTATTCTAATTTCAAAGAGAACAAAATATGTTCATGGATTTATTATGTAACTTCGGTGATGAAAAGTTCGCTACAATTTTTATTCATGAAAACATTCATGAAGTGTTCTCCCTTATTAGTCAACCCCTGTTTCATAAGCCATTTGACTATATTAGATGAAATATAAGAAATAAAAAAGTTACCGAGCAACAAACTCAGCATGATATTTGGTGCAGTTTCCTTCCGTCAAGATTTGCACAGAAAGCGACAGTAAACATTTCCATGGTCATAAACAATCTCCACTAAAAGTAGACTCCATTTAACGATTCTGACTATATCAAAGCATGTGTTTAAGAATCAATATCACATAGTTATAATATCAGGTGTATGAGAAAAGATGAGCTTTGCCTGGCACCCGTCACAAACACATGCAAAGATAAGGCAATGGTTCAGAGCTGCCTCACGACGGTTTCACGTAGTGACATTCCTAAAGTCAAACATTACAGCGTACCACACAACAAAATCCTTACATTGTAGCTTATGTTTGGTGCATCTGTCAGCTGAGCGATCTAGGGTTGTGTGAGTCGCTGTTCAGAATTGTCTCCCTTAAATTACAAGTATCCCTTGATACAACAGAGCTAATCCTACAGGAATTGGCATCAGAAGGCTGACATTGTAGAATTCTGGCAATTTCTTTTCAAAAATCAAACTTAATGTTTGTCTTTAACATTTTTTTAGAAAAAGTATTAAAAGACATTAATAAAAAATAACTTTATATCTTTATCCGTTTCACATATATATTTGACTTGTGACTTTCTATCCACACTAAGTACGGACCACATGTATCTCTTTCGATTATTGACCTGTGTGGATTATAATGACCTAACCACATTCGTGGACCTAATACCTTCAGATCACCACCGGTTTTCCTCCCAACTGAAATACTGTTAGAAGCAGCATTTAACTCACTCACTCACTCACTCACTCTTCGGCTCAACGTCCGTCTGATGTTTGAATGGTCACGTGAAAATGTGATGACTGGTCCCATCTGTCAGCTTAAGAGTAGGGACGGTTAAACCAAATGGCTGTCGTGCTACAGAATACACCAGTTCGATTCTTAGTGTGAAGTTGATCTTTCGTGTTGTCGGCCTCGCTATATGTATAACAGTATATATACCCACCAATCCATCTATCAATCACTTTATACATCCACCTCTCTATACATCAGTTACTATATACATCCACCACTCTATGTATCCACCGCTCTCTATATCAACCACTCTGTATACCCATCACTCTATATATCCATCACTCCATATATCCACCACTTTATACACCCACCTCTCTATATATCGGTTACTATATACATCCACCACTCTATGTATCCACCGCTCTCTATATCAACCACTCTGTATACCCATCACTCTATATATCCATCACTCTATACACCCACCTCTCTATATATCAGTTACTATATACATCCACCACTCTATGTATCCATCGCTCTCTATATCAACCACTCTATAACCCATCACTCTATATACCCATCACTCTATATATCCATCACTCTATATATCCACCACTCTATGTATCCACCACTCTATGTATCCACCGCTCTCTATATCAACCACTCTATAATCCATCACTCTATATACCCATCACTCTATATATCCATCACTCTATATACCCATCACTCTATATATCATCACTCTATATATCCACCACTCTATGTATCCATCACTCTATATATCCACCACTCTATACATCCACCTCTCTATACATCAGTTACTATATACATCCACCACTCTATGTATCCACCGCTCTCTATATCAACCACTCTGTATACCCATCACTCTATATACCCATCACTCTATATACCCATCACTCTATATATCCATCACTCTATATATCCACCACTCTATATACCCATCACTCTATATATCCATCACTCTATATACCCATCACTCTATATATCCATCACTCTATATATCCACCACTCTATACATCCACCTCTCTATACATCAGTTACTATATACATCCACCACTCTATGTATCCACCGCTCTCTATATCAACCACTCTATATATCAACCACTCTATATATCAACCACTCTATATACCCACCACTTCATACACCCATACATCTCTCTCTCTCTCTCTCTATATATATATATATATACCACTCTATATACCCCCCACTCTATATATCCACTACTTTATATATCAACCACTCTATATATCCACCAGTCTATATATCCACCACTCTATACATCCACCTCTCTATACATCAGTTACTATATACACCCACCACTCTATGTATCCACCGCTCTCTATATCAACCACTCTATATATCAACCACTCTATATATCAACCACTCTATATGCGCGTCGCTATATAAATGCAGTAATGTTCGACGCTTTACCCCATTTCACCTCACGTATTCTGAAACATGTGTCCTGTCCAATCAGTCAACGTAAATACAAGGTATGATCAAAACAACGACCATTAAATCCTTATTCAAACTTATTGATATCAGCATGCGATATAGGTCATTATAAAACAGCCTTAGTGTAGCCATGCTGCATAGACATCACCTTTTATCAACACACGGGAGACACAAGAAGAATGGATATACTGACAGCGATAAGACACACCTCGATAACGGTAACCTCGTAGGCAGGTGATAAGATAGGACACGGCTACAATGGGACCACGCTGTGAGTATTATTTACCGTTACTTGTTCAATAATTTAAATTTATAAAAATATACAGTTATTTGCTATCATATATCTGTTCGACCATGCAACATTACAGAATAGACGCTGAAAATAAAGATTTCCCATGTCCTATATGATAATACCACCTACTGTAACGACGCAGTCCAAGCGACCTCGTGTTGATAACAGTGTACTAGCGACGTACATGTTTCCTGTAGGGCTAGGACGAGTCCAGATTTACCACCTAGGTACCCACCTCCCTATTACCCGACCCAACCCGGGTACCCGCTGTAGGTCTCAAGTGATAGGTACAGACTGTCCGATTGGGAAATGTTTGACCGTAGCTCTGGCAAAATGTATTTAGATACACGTATACACATGCACAAAAGTTAAGCGCCACCCACCATATTTGTGAGCTGTTACTTTTGGCATTTAATGATGACTATTATAACGAGATGAACGATTGTTATAAGCCGTATATGTAAACCTCATATCATGCAAAAGTTGTCCCAAAGGAAGTTTATCTTGTGTTCCAAAAGAATATGAGCAGAAAGGAGTTTTACTGAAGACCAGAAATTGAAGGATTAGAAAACATTGAAAAAACATTTTTGTCATGTAACTGTCATGATATCAGCAGATCATATCAGGTGTCACATAGACACCCTAGGGAGTGCAGAGTCTATTGCAAGACAGAAACGTCAGTAACGTGTGTATGATCCACGGACATTGACCACAGCTTCAACCCTACGCCTCATACTCATTACAAGTCGTTGAATGCTTCTCTGAGGCAAACGGATCCATTCTTCATGAAGTGCGGCTTCAAGTCCAGCGAGATTTTGAACTGGGGGATCACGATGTCTGATTTCCCGGCCAAGAATGTCCCAGAGATGCTCAATCGGACTACAGACCGACCAAGGAAGTGTGGCAATAGCTTCTTGACGCAAATAAGCCAAAACTGCCCGAGATTTGTGTGGTCTAGCACTGTCATCCATGTAAACAGGTCTTGTCTGAAGAGGATGGTTGTCAAAATGAGGGACTACCACTGGACGAAGAACGGCATCTTGGTATTGTTGGCCATTCAGATTTCCACGAATTGTCACCAGCGGAAGTTTGCAGCCGCAGGAAACACAACCCCATATCATGACAGACCCCACCACATGCTAAGGTCTTCTGGATGTTCCTTGGTGCAAAACGAGTGTTACGTTGCCTCCAAACACGTATTCGACCACCAACAATTCGTAGCAGCATTCAACACTCGTCAAACCAATGGATCCTTCTCCAGTTGGCCAAGTTCCATCGACTACGGGCACGACACCATATCAGACGATTCCACATGTGCCTCTCAGTCAGTTGAGGACGTTTTACTGGTCTTCTGGCGTTATAACCAGCTGCTCTGAGGCGACGCCTTACGGTCATCGTCGAGAGTCTCTGATGGGTAATCCACTGCAGTTTTAAATCTATCCTCTCTGTTAGAGGTCTTTCTTGGCCTACCAGACCTATGCCTGTCATTGACATCATTGGTTTGACCATGTTTGACAATCAAACGAGTGATAACACTGTGATGACGACCAATTTGTCTTGCAATGGCCCTGCATGACATGCCAGCATTTTTCATGCCTATCACTTGCCATTTTTCAGCGTTCGTTAACTTTCTCCTCACCATGGCTGATTTTCAACCTCTATTCGAAGGGGAATCTCACACAGGAGCAAAATGCAACCACGTGTCTGAAACTTGAATTTCACTATTTATAGTGTAGGGGAACTGCAGCAACACGTAAAGCACGCTTTCCTTGTGGTATCTGGACAAAATTTGGTTCATGAAACTATGGAAGCCTAATTCAGTCATACGTAATCATATTTCGTATTTCTGATTCCCACACGTGAAATCAAGAGACTATTAATATGGTGGCGCTTAACTTGTGTGCATATGTATGTAAAACGATCTTGTCATGCATACAATGATGTTTACTGCATGTTTTATCGTTAT